GGGGGTAGAAAGGCAAGAAGTGAGACAATTTTGTACGATGATGATCTTTGAGCTCGATTCTAGCGAACAAGAGTTTCCTACCTGTGGCGAATTTAAAGTTTTTAAAAGTTTCTTTCCACATTTAGATATATGCCACTACTTCTACTACGACAACTACAACAACAACAACAACAACAGCTGCTTCTGCTGCTGCTGCTTTTACTGCTACTGCGACTTCCACTACCACGACTACTACTACCGTTACTATCACTACTACCACTACTACTACTACTACTACTACTACCACTAATACTACTACCACCATCACCCCAACCACCACCACTACCACTACTACTACTTAAATTACCTTTACATTTTCTATTAACATGATTTGACGGTATATATACATAATATATTATATCCATACCACTTCTTGCCATAGCATTCCCCTTTCTCTGGTCTTTCCGATTTTGTTTATCGCACCTTTTAGCATGGTGACGTAGATGCGCGCACGACTTTGGTTACTATAGCTAGTGTAGTCATTAGGTCTAGATCTAGCATTATTTTTTTTAATGTTCCTGATGAAGCCCCTGATTGGGCGAAACTTTGAACCTATATATAAAATATTCTTGGAAATTCTACAAGTCTTAACCCTTTTTTTATACTCTGCTGTTTACAATGATAATGGTGATGATGATGATGATGATGATGATGATGATGATGATGATAATAATACAAATAATGATGACGTTGATAAAGAGTAATAATAACAGTTTGTCTGTCAGCGTCTGACGATGATGAATACATCATCTGCATTTGGACGATATTTCTTATGCCAAAAAGAAAAAATGGGTCAAGATGACGTGGGACTTCTGCTATGGTCAATGAGACCAATTCTGACAGAGAAGACTTTATTTCCGCTGGTGGATGTATGCAGCAAGGGGATTTCTCTCGTGGCTTCAGCATTTTTTGTATGAGATAAGATTGATTTATTTGTCCATCTGCTTTACAGAGAAGTGCATTTAGAGCTCATTCAGTTGGAAAAGAGCAAGACAGACACGAAACAATAGAGAGACAACAAAGAAAAGAAGTACGGCTTTACAATGGTAAAGGTGGGTGGTTGGCGGGTGCTCTGGTGAGGTTTGCTTCTTCTTTCCTCTCAAACATCTATCGTCCTTATCTCCCCTTCTTCTTTTTTATGTTTTTTACTCTCTTATAACACCTCTAATCTTCTGGCACTCATATATGACCTTATGCAGTTGCAAGCGCCGTAAGATCTCGACTAAAACAAACAAAAAACAAACAGTGGTAAAATACCAACTACTAGCTGACAAACCTGAGATTGGGCACAGCTACCCTTACAGCAAACATTACTTCAAAGAAACACATATCAAGCAAATACCTGTGATGGGGTCAGCTGCATCCACATGTCAGGCAGAGACTCCATACCCTGAGTGACCAGCACTAGATTCTCAAACATCTCAACAAAAGCTTTGCTTGAGATGATGCCCGTCGGAGCAGTGGCACGGAACTATGAGGAAAGTGAAGGGGAATATTTGACAGTCCATTCAGTTTAATAAGAGAAACAGTGTCTGAAAATTTTATAAAAAACTTAAGAAACAAATACAATTCTATAAATTTGGTCTAAAAGTATCACATAATAGCTTTCAAATAATTGCCATGAATAATCTACAATGCTTCCCGTACACTATAAATGATAGGCTTTAATGATAAACTTCCAACATCCTCAAACATGATCAAAGAAAAAATACTAATGAGGAAAGAAAGTAAAAAAGCCCATTTCCTGGATTACAAATGTAAATACAAATTATGTACAGCTTTATCCGAAAAGACAGAGTAAGAAAAACTAAGCAACAAGCATTTTAATTTTTTTAAAACAAACACTAAAAAATGAAAGAACCACCTCAAAAGACCATAAAAGAGAAAAAGCAAGAGCGGCCAACTTTGATGACCAGTCACAATGGCATGAGGCATGCAATTGTTATTTATCCAATCGTGACTCTCAAGATCTATGCCAATCACATTGCTAATCACATTCTTCCCCCGCTTTACCTGACTAAAAAGTACAAATTTCCATCTCTTACCGAGTACCTCCCACATTTGTCTTTTGTGTTGAGACCACACAAATAAAATTCAGTCTGTCTAACATATTCAGATGAAAAGGCAGCTGCTGCAATGGTCAGGAAAACAAAAGCACGGAAGATTTCACAGTTTGATGTGATCCCGATTAATGCAGACTCAATGGCCCGACCCACCCAGCTTGTGATGTAAGTTTAGGTAGAAAGCTCAGGTGCAAGTACAAGTTTGGGGGAAAATAAACGTGGCAACGAGTTTACAACTTAGTGTGATCCCATCTGGGTCAAACACTGTACCATTTCATCAAGATTTACAACGAGCATGTGATCACTTTCACGAGAGTGAAGGATCTGGGACACAACAGGCAGTACAATGATCACAAGTTTTCACTGCTTGGTTGATCAGCTGCATCCACCAAGGTTTTTGTTCTGAAAACTATGGTCTGAAATGACGTGGGATCTTATCTGAATGTAATCCTTCAGAGCAGGATAACAGGGGTGACTTTTGTGAAGGAAAAATCATGTTTTCTTCAAACAGCAAGATCTTAAGCGAATCCTGATCTTAAGCGGTGGATTCTTAGTATTCTTAAGCGACGACTACTGTATATATATATGTGTATATGGACACAAAATAATAGAGCAGGCCCACAGTAAATTCCACTTTGGACAAAATGTTAAAGTTAAAATTTCTTTGGAAGTAAATGCTAGTCTCTGTCTAAATTAGTAAATGTCATTTACACGTATTATTGCTGTTAGAAACTTTCACAAAAATAAAGACGTAACAATGGACTTTTTCAAGAGCAAACTCTACTGTTTCATGAAAGTACTCTGCTGACTACAATGAGTTGTTTTGTATGACAGTTGAGACTTACCTGCTCATAAAGGCTGCGGAGTTGAGCCACAGTAAACTGGTCGGACAAGGCCACTTCTGTTGGTGGAGGAGGTGGGGCTGGGCTCGGAGTCTTCAGCACTTTCAGATCCTAAGGACAATCAGAAATAATTAGTTTCACAGTCAAAAAGCAGGACCCTTCATCCTCATCATCATCATTGTAGAAATTGTAGAGGGGGAAAGGAGAGTCTCAAGTAATTTTCAGTCAATAAATATGAAAAAACAAACAAAAAGTATTTTTGGTTACTAAAACTACTCAAGATTTTGCTTCCCAAGGTAGCAACTGGATGATGGATATAATGGAAACGATGATGATGATGATGATGATGATGATGATGATGATGATGATGATGATGGTGAAGATGATGATGACGACGATGATTTATCATCCGTCGGTGACCTAGTGGTTAGGCTCTCAAACTCGTAACCATAAAGTTGTGGGTTCGAATCCCATCATGGGATCAAAGTTGTGTCCTTGGGAAAGGCACTTTACACAGATTTTTCTCACTTCACTCGTCTGAAAATGGGTAGCTTGGCTTTAGACAGAAAGATCTTGTCAATTTGTTAGTGTTTGAGCGCTTGAAATCTGCAACTTGCACTGTATGCTTCCCAGGAAGCTGAGAATATTTTTGAATTTTTGGGGGTCTGTTGGGGTAACAATACTTGTAAAGTGCCTAGAGCATGCTGTAGAGCATGGATATAAGGCAATGATAATCCTTTTTTGGTTATACATAACATTTTTTTCGTCTAACAAGATTGCTATACCCAAACTGAAAGAGATTTTTGCTCACAGGAAGACTGTACAAAATATTCCTAGCACTATAAGCTTAAAGCTTCAGGCCTAGATAGGCTTCTTTAAAAACTGAATAGTCTACTTTATGTAGTACAGATTTCAATTTCAGTTTTTTAAAATGTATTGAAAATTTCCACAGACTTCAATATATTGCTCATACACTTTGCTCCAGTTCTATCTATCTATCTCTCTATCTGTCTATCAGTCTATCAGTCTATTTGTCTGTCTGTCTGTCTGTCTGTCTGTCTGTCTGTCTGTCTGTCTGTCTGTCTGTCTGTCTGTCTGTCTGTCTGTCTCTTTCTTCTTGCCTGCCTACTGTCTGTCTATCTATAAACACACAGACACAGACACAGACACACACACATATAGGTGCATATATATATGATTATTAGTAGAGTTTAATTACCTCATCCAAAACAAAATTGTCTTGATCAAGAGTAATAGTGTACTTGATCTTCTCACGGTTCTCGACTGCATTCCGTGTGACCTCTGCCATCTGGTCAATGCTGAAGACCAAGTTTCAGTAAATACATTTTAATATTTTTCGAGACGCACTACTTTAAAAAAAAGAGGATTCAATACTATAAAAGATCACAGCAAATAAAAAAGTGACACAAGTATGTTGAATACTAGACTATCCTAAAAAACAAAAATAAGTACACCATAATGAAGGAGATTATTGCATGTATAAATAAAATATTAGGGAAAGAGGGTTATGAACAATCATTTATAAAGGTGAATATGGGCTCTGCCAAGGAACCAAATGTCATAGAGTATAGAGGGAATTTTCACGCTTTTCTAGACGATCGAGGAATCATGAACACATTGCTATCCTCTGATAGCTTCAAACGGGAAATTGGTACAGTCATAGATGAAGATCTGCCTTGAGAATGCGAACCGTTGAAATGTAGGAAAATCCTTGCTGCAGACATTGTCTACGGACAGATGTATCATGGGGCTCATCTACTGAATTTTGCACCCAGGTGACGTTTAAAGGAGTGCAGACGGTGTGTGTTTGACCTGAAGTGGTTGTTTTGTCTGGGAATTTTTGGTTCTGATTCTCTACAAGTCCTAAGTGATGAACAATTTTCACCCTTGACATCAAAGAAGGCCTTAAGGGCACTTTAACATTATTTACGTACCTTGTGCAAAACTTACAAAATAAATTGGAGGTTAGGAAAAGTTAAACACAAAAAGCTCTCTGCTTTTTACTAATCTTAAACATGATCTCAGCAGGCAAAGGAAACTTGAGAAAAACTATCTGCAAAAAGAAGTTGTTCAATTTTAATGTCTTTTTTGGGGGGAAAATCTATGTTTTTGAGTTTTTCAAAGGAGGCCGAAATGTTTGATGAATTTGTCATTGATTTAAAATTTCTTTTTTGAGTCCGGGTGTGTTCTAAAAATGCAGTCGTGTGCTGGGTTTTCTGGTGTTGAACTCTGCTTACTGTAGTGAGAGTTGCGTTCGTCTGAATTTCAGTGATGGTATGTTTGCCCCAGCCGGAAGGCGCTCCGCTGGAGAAGTGTGGAAAGCCTACAGGGCGAGGCGGAGTTCTTGGTTTTGTACGGGGTCTAGTATTTTCAGGATGTGGGGGTCTTGCTGATCCACAGACTTGACAGCTGTAGTGAAGCCTGGGTCGGGCAAGGGAACAATAAAGGTAGAGAAAATGTTTTTGAGTCCCCGCCCCACTCGAATCCGGATAAAAAAGAATTTTTGAAGCGTTTCAGGCTTTCTGGCACCTCGCACGAAGGTCTTTTAAGTGTGGAATGAAAGTAAATTTTTTGTCGAAGATTATTCTGAAGAAACAAGCTTGGTCCTGGACGGAAATCATTTCCCCGTATAGTGTCAAATCCAGCTGCAGTACACGTCTGCCTGATCGACAGAAATCTTTTACGGGGAAAACTTGAAACCAATATTGTTTGCCAACTTTTCAAGCTTGTACAGCTGCATCTGCCTTTCCATAGAACTTAGTTGACGATTTTTGGAACGACAGCACATCAGAAAGTTGTCGACGTATCTGGCTATTTTGTTTTGAAGAGTCTGGAAAATAGAGTTGATTTTGATTTCGAAGAGGAGAGGAGAAAGGATACTTCCTTGGGGAACACCTTCCTCCTGTTGGTGGGGATCTGAAAGGGAGGATCCGACATGAATCTGGAAGGAACGGTTCTGCAGAAAATTGCCAAAGAAGGCGGGGAGGTGACCGTGTAGGACGAGATTGTGTAGATCTCTAAGAATTCCCTACTTCCAGATTGTGTCGAAAGCTTTCCCTAGGTTGATAAAGATGGCAATCTTGTGGCCTCCTTCGGCAGAGGTCTCGAGTATAAAAATATCTGATAGTTATAATAGGCAGCTCGATAAGGCGATTTGTCTGTAGTTCAATGGGTGTGTGTGGTCTTTTGATGGTTTGGGAACTGGAAATACAGAGGCCAGTTGCCAAGACTCCAGTAAGGTGTGCGACCGCCACATATCATTGTATATTTAGAACAAGTGTGAGTGTTTCTGTAGGTAAGTGTCAAATGATCTGGTTGTGGGTGTCGTCTGGACCCGGAGCTGTATTGCCTAGGTCCGAGGTGCATGATGTAAGTTTGTCTAATGTGAAGAGTACATTGTAGGCTTCTGTGTTGTTTGAATGGAAGTTTAGGTGTTGTTGTTCTCTGTTTGTTTTGATTTTTTGGAAGGCGGTGTTGTTGTTTATTTTGGACGAATTTTTGGAGAGAGATGTAGCTATTGTGTTTGAGATATCTGTCTGAGTTTCTGCTGTTGGGTCATATGGTCCCTGAACATGTTGGATGGTGTGTGCGCGTCTACTCAAAATTAAAAAAAAAAGTATTTTAGATACTTTGTTGAGTGGTGTCTTGCTGTTGATTTGGAATATGATATATTTTTGGAAAGATTTTCTTCTACCCTCCCTGAAGCATCTACATGCCTCAGCTTGAGCTTTTAATTAAGCAATTAATTTTGTTTTCAGGGGTGCTGTTGTCGACGGCTCTCCGATATGCTGCCTCCTTTTTTTTACAGCATTATCACACTTCCAGAGAACCAGACATTGTTCTTCTGGGGTTTTGGAGATGGCTTTGGTATGTATTTGTGATATATTTCTAAAAGCCGTATTCACTTGAGATCTGGGACAAGGTCACGATTATAACAGGTGAGGTAAAAGTAAAAGAATGAAGTTCAATACCAAAGAAAAAAAATTGAAAAAACAAACAAGTAACAAACAACAAATGTTCCATACCTTTCCATCTCTTTCAAAAATCTTGCTCCTAGCCAGTCATTCATGTCTTTGAAGGCATCTTCTCCTTTGCTCTTCAAATCTTGAAGAACAGCACAGGCAAGCTGACGGATCAGATCCAAACGAACTTTGGAAGCTTGCTCTGCATGCACAAATTTAGAGTACAAGAAAATTAGTTGAACAAAAAAAAAAGTTTTCATCATGTGCAAATAACTTTGCAGTCACCAACACATGAGCATAACTCCATATCATCATACATGATAGCTTTCAGTGAAGTGTGTGAGGAATATATATAATAAAAATAATATTAACTCATTGACCCCGGAATTGATTTTTAGTGTTTGATGCAATTGATTTTTTTTTACAACCTGACTCAAAACGCTTTTCGCCGGTTTGCTTTCCACCCTTGTCTTGCAGATTTCTGGCAATATGGATAGATCTTCAGTGGAGTAGTGTGTCGCAAGTGAACACAATACAATGTGTAATGTTGAAGAGTATGATTAAAATAGAACACAACAATTCAGCATCAAAATTCGCTCTCCAAGTGAATCTGCCTAAATTTAGTGCGCTGATTATGAAAATGCTATTAGTTTTTGGCCTTGGTCAATATTTTTAAAAAAAATGGAATTAAATGTTTTAGTCACCTGTCAACATCCGTCAGAGAGATGTGTCCAATATGCAGTCTAGTTAGCGAAAATAACGTTGTCTCTTCTGGACAGACCCGTAGGTTTTAGTGGGCCCAATTTGGTCACTTTATTGCAGAGTTTATATTTAAATGTTCACTCCATGTTCCTCCCACAGACTGGAGGTATGGTTCTTGACCTTATTTTTAAAGTCTGTCTGCGGGAGGGTGTTCTTTTTTGACTGTTGATCCCAACAGGAAGGGCAAGGATTCCTTCTCTGAAAGATCCACCTATTCGTTTCGTCGGATGCCTACATGGCTAGGTAGCCATGCAAACACTATCTTCTCCATGTTCAGTCAAAGAGTATTTGGGGTTTAAAGGAATAAGATTGGTGGGTGAAGTGAGGCAAGACAAGGAATCGGAAAGAATGAGAAAGGATGATCCGGGTGAAGTCTCTACGGAGTCCAAATCCATGTCAATGGCAGTGGCATCCGCAGCAAAATTGGAGGCCTTGGGATGAAGCCTTCTCTGTTGAATAGGGTTTCTTTTGTGGATAGGGCAGTGGCACCTACACTTGATCTGAGTCCTATTTAGAGCCAAATGTGGATATTTTCTCTGTGTTCAGGTATCGTTTGATGATTTTTTGCATGAACTTTTGAATTATTTTACGTCTGTGCATGATTTATTTTGTGTTATGAGGTTGAGGTTTAAGTTTACTTTTGCCTTGGTGAGGTGCTATTGAGGGAGGTCTGGAAAAAATTGCTCAGTATCTTTCTCTGAAAAAAATAATGTTTTCGAGGTCCTCAAGGACTCGGAGGCCAAAAGGATACATGTAATATAGTCGCTATTTGTTTATTATGTCTGGATGAGCTTTATAAAATACTGCCGAGTGCTAGATTGTCGGGTGTTGAGCTATGTTGTATTTTGTAGTGTAGTGATAGTTATTTTCATCTAAGTTTCAGGGATGGTGTGTTGACCTTTACCTGGGATCTCTCCACTGGAGAAGGAGAAGTGAAAAAAGCCCCCAGGGCGAGGCGGAGGCCTTTGTACAGGATCTAGCATTTTCAAGATATGAGGTCTTGCCGATCCACAGAGTTGACAGCCATAGTCAGGCTTGGATCAGACAAGGGAACAATAAAGGTGGAGGAGGTGTTTTGAGTCCCCGCCTCACTTAGAATGAGACAGAATTTTTCGTTCAATGAGTTAAAACAAAGGTAAATCAACATCATTTAGATTCTAGTATGTCTTCCAAACTTCAATAAGAAAGTTCCACTTGTTTTAAAAGGTATAAACAATTTTCTCACCTTCTTCTTGGATAGAAAAATAAAACTCTTCTCTGGCTCTCTCTTTGGCTGACTTTTTCTGCTGTTCTTCCTCACTCACTTCAGATGGAGCTGGTAGAGTATAAAAACATGTACACATAAAACCTTTGCTGTAAAGTGCATCTACTTTGATACAGACACAAGATGGAACACATTTCAAATTTATTCAAAACAAAATAATGAGAATGGTCGAGATCAATTTACCAAACAGAAACTACACAAGGAATTTTTGGTGCACCATTCCTGACAAGCACAGAACATTATGGTTCTTCAACTCTTCCCAAAAATCTAACAGAGATTAAAATGTAATGAAACTTCTCAAATCAATCTTGCAGTTTGAACCTCCAACAGGATTTCCCTGAATTATAGATAGCTTAATGATAAATAAATATATGTAAAATAATGCACCCTGTATTTTAACATTTTAACAAAAAGCTTTGGATTACCTGGTGGTGGAGTACCGGAAGTTTCAGAGTCCTTTCCTTTGCCGCCTTTTTTGGGAGAAGGACTACGGCTCTTTCCTTTCTTTCCTCCCTTTCCACCTTTAACTCCCTTGTTCTTCTCTTTTTCTTTCTCAAGCTCCTGCTGCTTCAACTTCTCTGCTTCCTCCTCGGCTTCTCGGGCTTGCATCTCTGCTTGAATCTATAGAAAAGAAATACAGCAATATTCAAAGTTATTAAAGCAATGAGTTGAATCAAACCGCATTTCTTAGTCATCCTAAAAATGGCCACATTTTGCCCGGATCAAATTAGTGATCCAATTTAATAGAAAATAAAAAAGGAGAAGACTATGCCAAAGTATCTTCAAAATCAACTGCTACCAAAGCATGTTCAAAAGGGTTATGGTTTTATTTGGTCAAATTGATATTAATGTAATTTTTTGCTATACACATATATTCTTTCAGTGACCTACTTTGCAATTGCTATGAACATAATGATGAAATAAAAATCTAGAATTCCACCCCTTTTGCTGCTAGCAAATACTGCCTCCACCTGCTTTGTACACCAACTCACATAAATACAACTTTAACAGGGTTTCTTTTTGTTGTTGGTAGATGAAATTGGCTGCATTGTACAGGTTATCGTTTTACGCAGTGCTATTATATATAATCTAAGAACAACGCAACAGACGGCAAGCTCGACAGTACTTTTTAGAAAAATATCTGTATAACATTTACTCTTCTTTCAAGATAAACTACTAATAAAAAACAAGACATACTACCCAACCATTTAATTTTATGTCTAATTTTTTTTCTATGTTCTTGTTGTTGTTATCGTTCCAGCAACAGGCTGGGCTCTTGCCCTTCTGTCCAATGCCATGTAGTGATAAGTGCAGGTTTGCTGCAGTTGCTGTAATGTTCTACAGAGTGAGTTGTCAATGTTAGTTCTCGGAGGGAGAAGTGTAGCTCTGATGTCCTTTAGAGTTGTACAGTGGAAAAAGTGATGATCCACAGTCTCATATGCATAGTCACACAAAGAACACACTAGGGGAAGTTCTGGTTTTATTCTGTTCAAGTGAAAGTTGAGCAGCATGTGTTCTGTTTGTAGGTGGAAGATCGTGGTCTGTTTCTTTCTCTGTTGGTGGTTGATATTATCATTTTGTTTTGTAGTGGTCATATGTTTGAAAACTGGTCTGCCTGTCTTTCCCAAGGCCCATCTGTTCATCCAAACTTGTTTGCTGTTGCTTTTAATGATTGTTTTGCAGTGTTGTATGAAGTTGGAATGTTGGGTTGTTCCTGTCTAGATCCTCGTTTGGCAAGTGTGTCTGATCTGTCATTTCTAGGTATGTTTCAGTTTCGGGGAATCCACTGCATCACCAGGTTTATGCCACAGGATGTTATTGAGTGATGGTAGCCAAACAGTATATGTGTCAAGTCTTGGTTTAGATGATGGTCATTTTTTATCGCTTGCAAGACTGATAGTGAGTCAGTGAAAATCACAACACTCTGCATTTTGTTTGGATGAATGTCAAAAACTGTGAGGAGATGGTATAGTGCTGTTTCAATTGCCATAATTTCTGCATCGTAGTTGTTGCATTTTTCTCCACAGGCTGCAGAGATCTCATTTGAACTTCCATCTGGGTACTGTATTAGAATTCCATATCTGGCTGTGCCTTTGAATACTGAGCCGTCTGTATAGACAGGGTTTTTTTCTTCTTCTTCTGGCTGGCCTCCGTCAGGAGGGCGGCAGTCTGCCGCAGGCAGACAGGTAAGCGGCAACCTCTTGTGGCCTCGTCCAGAGTACATCCGGGCCCGGTCTCGCGGGCACTCATACAGTGCGTGCTGCAGGTCGTCAGGACTTGTGCCACACGCCAGACAGGAATCATTGGGAGCGGAGCCTATTGCATTATTGGGACCTCTACGCAGTGCTGCAGACCCCGGAACAGGTACAGCTCCGGGCCGAATGCCAATCAACCCCTGGATTCAGACAGGAACGGAGGCGACCGAGTTTTTGTCCGCAGGCTCTGTATAGACGTGTATCCAGTCATCTGGATAGCTGTCGATTGTTTGATGTGATTCTAGCATCAGTGTCACTGGGTCTGAAGATTTTGTGCTATTGTCTCTGAGAAATGTTGTTAAAATTGTTTTTTTGTAAAGAAATGTGGGGAGGAATGTTTTGGTTGACTCTTTAGGTTTCTCTTCTGTTTTGTTTGAAAACTGCTCTGTCTTTCTTTCCCAAGGCCCATCTGTTCATCCAATCTTGTTTGCTGTTGCTTTTAATGATTTGTTTTGCAGTGTTGTATGAAGTTGGAATGTTGGGTTGTTCCTGTCTAGATCCCCGTTTGGCAAGTGTGTCTGATTGTTTTTTTCCAAAGAAATGTGGGGAGGAAGGTTTTGGTTGACTCTTTTGGTTTGTCTTCTGTTTTGTGGTAGATGGTGACTCTCCATTAGTTCTGTGATGTGATGCATGATTGATTTTTGTTGAAGTCATTTCTTTGGTTTCCATATTTATACTAATTCCCTGTTTGGGGGGTTGGGCCACATTCTTTAGGTTCTTTCATGGAGCTCAAAAACTGCTTTATCTCTGAGAATTCCAAGGGGTTCAACATTTGACAGAATTTCACAAGTGGCAGTAGGTGTAGATCTCATGCCACCATTTATGAAACGAAGGGCATTATTTTGGACCTTGCCAAGGGTATTGCAAGTAGTTGTACTGCACATTGCGAGTAGGCTATTGCTGTGTTCCACGGAAGATCGGACATAACCAAGGTATAGAGTTCTCAGAGTTTGTCTGATCCCCATGAACTGCTTGCGGGTTTCTTTAAAAGTTCGAGTCTTCTTTTCGCCTTATTCTTTATGCTCTCCACTTGGCTTTTCATGGCAGACTTTGGTCAAGTTTGACTCCTAGTTATGTTGGTTGTTCTTCTTTGGGGACATTTTCATTTCCTATCTTTAGTTGGAGTTTTTCTTTGGCTGTTTTTATTGCTCCTTGTAAAGATGGTGTATATGGTTTTTGAGCAGTTTATTTTGAGCTGCCATTTCTGACAGTAATTGTGGAGCCTCTTCATTTAATTTGCTTGCTCCTACTACCATGCTGTGGTGTGTCTGCCAGAGAGCAAGATCGTCAGTGTAGAGAGTCTTGTCAGACTTTAGCACCTTCGTTACATCATTGAAGAAGATCAGGAACAAGGTGCAACTCAGACAGGAACCTTGGGGTAGGCCTTCCTTGAGTACTTCTCTTGAGGAGTGGGCATTGTTCACCTTGGTTTCGATGTTTCGAACCGCTAGGAAAAACTTGATCCATTTATAAAGTTTTCTGTGTATCCTGAGATTCATCATTTTCATGAGTAGGCCTTTTCTTCACACAATTCTTTTTCTATAAAATGCAAAACACAAGAAAAGAAATCGCACAGCACAACAATATCACACAAAGTACAACACAAATCAAACATGCATTAATTCACACAGGCACGCACGCACACACGCATGCACGCATGCAAGCACACACACACACATAACAGGCCTATATAATATTTATTTATACAGTCAAACCTCGATGTTACGCCCTCCGTTGTACTGCCAGCCCCACTTACCGCCAGGTTTTGCCATAATCCCCTATATAAACATAGTATTTGTGCCTTTACACCACCATCCACCAACTGTAAATTTACCCTGTTTTACTCCCAGTGAACTGGCCATCGGAACTGCACACTAGGCTATGCATAGCCCACAGCACGTCCACTCAGTGGCTCCTTGACAATATTTCACACACAAGTCTCTACGAGCTAGGCTTTGGTCTAGATCATACGTTTTTAGCCAATGTTGCTACACTTAACATAGATGAAATATTAAAATGTCAGATGATGCAGAATTCGTTTAGCTTTTAATTGATATGCTCTGTGAGTGGGTATTACAAGGCCTTTAACATGATAATAGGGTGAATGCATTTCAAGTTTCTATTTCCTTAAAAGCATTCAAGATGACGAAAGTGAAAAGACCATTAATTGCTGTGCTTCAAGGATACATTTTGATTTCAGTGTAAAACCATTGTTGTTCTTTTTTCTTTCACGTTTCCAGTAAAAAAAAAGCTATTTTTCAAAAGACACCTTTGGCAGAAAGCAATAAAATCAATCTAGAAGTTCTTGAAAAACAAAAACATAGGCCTACAAGGACATCAAAACAGAACTGACTACCAAACAAAGCCCACACTGTTTATAACACATACACACTAAAAAGATTTTGTAGGACTAACACACACACACACACACACACACACACACACACACACACACACACACACACACACACACACAACACACACACACACACACACACACACACACACTTACATGACATACATATTATACATACACCAAGGAAAGTGAATACGTGTACACCCTACCTATTTGCAAACTAATGCAAACACTATTTAAGCAAAACTTGGCACTCAATGTAAGATCAACCTACTTTGACCATATTCTACATTCTATTTGGAAGCAGAAAAGAAATTGGAAGCTAATCAAACACTATGAATTTTCACATCAATGAAGACAATATAAAAAATATGGAAGTTGTTTAGCAAAGACAAAAACTGCAATAACACGTCAAGGTCACAGATACACAGAGGAAACTGCTTTTTACACTGAGAGAAAGTCAAAATCAGGATGGTTCCGAAAATCATAGAAAGTTAATGAGAAGAACTTAAGGATGGATTAGGACACTGAAACTGAAAGATGTTCACATCAAATGCTGTTATAATATCAAATTCATTTTCAGAGTCACCAAGACTAGAAATAATGAACAACAGGACAGAGAAATATATATATAATTATATATATATATAAATATGATATTGGAGGGAAGGACAATCAGTAGGGTTCAAAATTAATGAAAAAGAACTGAAAGATTTTACTCAGAAGTAATCCTGAAATCGCCACACTAAAAACATATGTAGTAAAAAGAAGTTTCCTATTCCTATCAACAAGTGGATAAAATTTTCACGAGATTTTTAAGCTTCATGTTATTACAAAATCATTCTGACAGGCTTTTCACCATGGCTGCTTCATTTCCTTGTGAGATATATCTATTATATATATCTATATAGTTGAAAAGGAATAAATTGGTGGCAGGCACTACACAGCAATGGCAGTGGAGACATTTTGAAAGCTGTCTGCAGGAGCAAGTTCCACAACAAAAGTGACGAGGTCTACAATGAAGCCATGTTCAAATGGATACTGAAAGAACTGTACAACATTTAATATTTACCTTCAGTTCAGATACCTAGATTTAAAAGGTATATATTCATAAGAGAATATGGTTTTAAAAAAATAAACACACTAGTTTCAAAACTAGAGATTTCAGACAAATGTGAACATGTTTATTGAGCATAGAGATAGTATGAGAGCAACTGAAATATTCTGAGCCAACTTTTAAAAAGCATGTTGCTTCAAAAGAGCAACCAAGACAAATAAAAATTGTATTTACTGACATGAAAAAGTTATAGTTAATATTTTAAAATATTTTCACCATTCTGAACTAACTTCTCTATCTCCTTTCCCTGTTTCCTTTGTGGGTTACTACTTTTTCCTTTCTGGTAATTGTAAACCTTGTTAATCAATGTCAAGAAAAGCTCAAGTTCTTTCCTTACTTTTTTTTTTGGTGTAAACGATTGACATATTTTATGCACTTAGTGTCTAATTTAAGAGCATTTTGGAGGCTGACTGCTTCAGCCCTGCCTGTCGGGGCCAACGAGCTGAGCGGAATACAGCACCACAGTAAAAGACAAAGTTACTCGATTAGGCCTAAAGAAATTTTTTTCAAATCTGCATTTAACTCCAATCCATGGCAAGTGGTAGCAAAAAGCCTAACAACAGTTATTTCTTATTTCTTTGCAAGTCAAGATATCACAAGGAAAGGTTAGACATTTATGCTGGAAGAGTTACACCACAAAATCAAAATATACCATGCATATTGATGACAAGACAAAAATGTATCTGCAATATATCAAAATTGTAGCTTTCTCAAGATTTTCTTCGTTAGAAAACCATTTAGAGTGCATGAATATAATGTTACAGTGTGTCTGAAAGTGTTTGCACATTGGTATCAGGACTTTCACAGATGCTCACAATGTGGGATAGAGAAAAAGGAGACGTAGACGGCAAAATGGAAACAGGAAAAGGATGAAGAAAAGACAGGGGGGGGGGGGAGAAAAGACAACTGCGGAACAAGAAAAAGGGAAAAAGAAAGGAGAAGAGAAGAAAAAGAACAGAGAAACAAAAATTTCAGTCATGCTTCTCACACTTTCACTTTACCCACCATTTGTGAGATAGCATTGATGGCAAAGGTGAAACCATCAAAGATCAACTTCTCATCAAGATCCTGAGGTGGAGCGGGACTCTCTGCCCCTGGAACTTCTTCAGTGCCTCCTTTCTTTGCGCCTTTTTTGTCTTTTTTGTCCTTGCTGGGAGTGGCTCCTGTCTTGGCATCGGCGTCTGGGGACATGGGGCGACGAGGAACAAGGGGGATGCTGGGGAACAGAACCCTCAGCTGTGATTCCTATCTCACAGTAGTTTTATACTTTAAATTTTCAAACAAGTTCACACATTCCTACAAGATACAAACAGCTTATTTTAAAAAATGGAAAAACTGTGGCAATTAGCCCAAGACTGAGAGTTAACAAGAAGGAAGATGAAGAGAAAGAAAAAAGAGGTGATACACTTATTGAACGGTCGGCATCTATTCTGAAGGTGAAATATAGGTGTCATTCCACCTATATAAATGAGTTGCATCTCCTGACAGGCATACAGCAGGTCTACATAATATATTATATCCCCCAGCCCACTAGAGGCCACCCCCTAGTTATACTTCCCACATATGAAAGAACAGTTAAAAATTAAAAAGAGATTCTGGAGGCATCTATTATTTATTTGCGTCAAGAGACCTACATCAATACAATGATGGTTATTCATTACATGTTGGAAAAGAAGATAAACAGATATAACATATGGATATGGAGTAATAGTGCATATAAGCAGGAGTCACTGAGAGTAAAATACTACTTTTCTTTAGAATGCAAGTACGAAAATAAGAGTAGGCTCACATGTAGTATAATTTGCAACAATTGCTAAGTAAGAAAATGGACACGCATGAGTCACTGAGAGCAAAATATTACTTTTCTTTAGAATACAAGTATGGTTATTGGGCTCATTTGACCCCCCTCTGCCCTGGCATCTTGCACCTTCTAGGGAACCACCTGCTGACACCATGCTGTAGCATCATTTACAACAGGTAGTAGTGCTCGGCGGTACTAGCGAAATTGAGTTCCGGTACTTTACCAACACTGGTACTGGGACTGAGATAAGATGATGTCAGAGGCTCTCAGCGTCTAGTGTCTTGCCTGCTGCATCTCTTTTTCATAAGTCCCCTCCCCTTATCAAGCCTACTGCACCACACGCTGGTCATTGGTAATTTTTTTTTAAAATTTGGTTGGGGAGCAGTAAAGTGAGACAAGGGAGTCAAAAGCCGTCAAATGCAAATTGCACCAGATTTGAGAGAGACAAGCCAGGACACAGAATCCCTTTGAAATTAACAGCAGCGAAGGATTAAAGTTTGAGACCAAATAGAAAATTTTTTTTAAACTATCGCTGCTGAAATTTGATTTTATTTTCCGAATCAGTGTATCAAAGTAAGCAAAACTGCCCACGATGAGCCATATTTGATTCGCTTAACTTTAACAAAAAGTGTTTTTTTGAATTGGTTGTCAATTTTTAACTTTACGCGCTGTGCATCCGATGTCACAGCTTCTACACACTGCACAGTAACTGGGGCTTTAGTTTCAAGGGCACATTACCCACTGTGATAATCACTTGGTGTCGGCACCTTCCCAATACCGGTACTGGAGGCCTGGTGCCTGTACTGGCACCACCTACTGTAGTACTGGGTACCAGTACCTACCCAGCCCTAACAGGTAGTACTAGATTTAATTTTACTAGAAGCAAGGGTCGTAGGAAGGAATAGCCTGACCTGACTAGTAATCACTAATATTACTAATAGCATTATTGCTGTTATTGTTATTTTTATTACAAAGAAAAAGGTTCCAGTCTGAAGGTTGTAAAGGACAGTGAAAGCAAATCATAACACCTACTGTTTGGATATTGTGGAGTAAACTTTCAGACACTGGAAAACACAAAAAGTACAAAAGCTCCTTACACAATTCTGCGACCAATACCCTCTGATGACTTTGGCACTTCTGGCTGAGGTGTCTCTTTACCACCCTTTTTCTTCTTGCCCGATGCAGCCCTAGACGATTTTGAACCTTTAGGAGACTTGGCCCGTTCCTTGGGAGATTTCGACCTTCGTCCTCCTTGATACAAGAAAGGTAGGGAAAACATGTATGATATTCATTAAAGCATATCTTTGTAAATGAAAGAAAAAGTAAATATTGGACAGTATTTCTATGGTTATTAGGAAAAAAACAAACATGCCAAAGAAGCCAAGATAAAAAAATAAACAGGCGTCACTAAACACTATGATTTCTTCCCAGTGGCCGTTGACACATCTGGCCCTTTCTGTCCCCCAACGACCCAGTTCCTTCAGAAAGTAATCGTTAGTTCGCAAACGCCACAGTTGACCCATGGGAAACGAGGTGGTTTTTCAAGACAAACTCTCTGGCGATCATTAGACGCAATGTGTTCTCATTACTGGTGGTCCAGTGGTCACCTAAAAAGCCGTTTCTAACGTAGAATGGCACATCTGCTTGGGAGGAGAAGAATAAAGGTTCCTGATCCTCCAACTTTCTCAAGACCATCGAGTATATTTGCCTCTAAACTTTCAACAACAACAAAAGTGGAGCACAGAGAAAAACAATGATTTTTTCCATGGAGGACATTTTGGTTGCAATGACATGAATGTCTTGCAAATGATAGCACATGACATAATGAAAAGTAAGATAGAATAAGATAGATGATATCACACAACAACAAAATTATGGACAATTTGATGAAAGTCACTATCTGGAATAGGATTATCCAGTCCTGACCAATGCCTGACAATGCTTTAACAATATTTGAGAGCTTGAGGATATTTAACTGTTCCACTGCTGGGGCTCCCAACCTTGAGACAGTGGGCAAAGAAACAATCTTTTCACTTATCAGTGGTCTTCTGCTAAAACAGTATATAAATACTGTCGAACCCGCTCTTACATTCATATTTTTTCTACATATTGTAATGACACTGTTCAAAACATCCACCTGTCTAAGACAATTATTTTTTTCTTTTTAACAATGAGTGGCCGTCTTGGACAATTGCTGCAGTATTTCATTTACTACAATTGTATTTTTACCCTTTTACTGACCAGGACATGCATCTTCCTCCCCCCCCCTCTTTTCCCCCCAATTAACCCACTCTTTTCAAAATAAAACATAACAATATGTGTCACGACGCTGTGGAATCAGGCGCTCTTCAATTTTTGGGCATATGGAATTATTGTTATCATCTTAAAACCTATTCACTTGCCTTAATATATAATATGCTGATGTTTATTTGAATTTGTGGCCCCAAAGACCTGTGAACTGAGCACTTGTCACCGTCTCATTTCACCCTCCCGAAAAAAATTCGTCCACAAGCCGAAAATAATGCATAGCGAAAGAGTTAATTAAACTTTCAACTGCCAAGGCATCTTTACTGCGAACTAAGTGCATATTGGCTCTCTGGATTCTTCATCTTGAACTGAAAAATCTCACTGAAAAGTCTGAGAAAAATCCGCATTAAAAAAAAAAGACTGTATCTGTATGAATCTGAAATAAAACCTGGGACTCTAACATATGAGAAGAGCACTCTATGTTAACTCCCAGATAGCCGATAAGAAATGCAAAAAGGAACCATGAAAATGAACTCAATGATAGAGGAAAACACGAATCATCATAATTAGTTTGACTCAGAATACAACTATGAGTAGAAATAGGTATCAGGGTCCGTGTCAAAAAGCTTCCATTTCCAATGGCTCATTGTCAAAAGTGGAACTTAGGGCACCTGAGAAATGTGCCTATCTTTTCAAGGATTAAGAAGGGGAAAAGTCTGAGAAATGGTCCCATTTTCCACAGCTCATTACCTTTGGGTGACTTGGACCGGGCAGAAGCTGACCTGTCAGACCTAGAGTCGTCAACAGGGGACTGTGCTCCTTCACTCCCAGCACCCTCTGGGGTTTCAGGTCTCTCAACTGGAAGCTGAGGAATAGCCATGCAATGGGCAATAAAAATATCAATGACAGCATCAGTGCTGCTATGACCCTGCATGATACAAATAAAAGCTGTCATATCGCAAGACGTTGCCTTCTAAAAGGTAGCTGACCAAATCAAAAAAATTATTTCTCAGATCACTCTGCTGCAATTGATACATATAGCAACTGGCTCTTGATATAGATGGAAATATATATGTGAATGATAGTGCTTAAGCACCTAGCAGGCTGGCATGTTCTTTTTTAACTTTTTTCTAGACAGGGGCAGATCCTCCCCCGAGTCGTGATGCTCCAGGGTGTTGCTGCTGCAGCGCTCCTTCATGCAGCAGCCGAAGAAGAAACAGACAAGTACTCTTCCAATGCATTTCATCATTTTCAAGGGGCTGGCTGGCATGTTCTATCCCCTTATAATTACTCAAGCACTCTTGTTGAAGAGCCCCCACTATTGTACATTGAGATACTTACCTCAATAAGTGGCAATCTTTCATAGTCAGGGTTCAGAGCATCTGGCACTTGTCCATCCATACCTCGGTAGTAGTCCTTCAGCAGGCGAACCGTATCCTGCAGTCTGTCCACCTCAGCCTGGTTAGTATAATGAAAATGTTAACTTCTCATTAACAGACAACTGGGAAAATTTTCACTTTTCACTGATTGAAAGGAAAACTTTCTCTTTTCATTGAACTTTTTTAAAATTATGTGTGAGTGATCTTTAGGAATATTTTTACTTTTCACTGACTGAAGTCTAAAACGTTTTTATTTTACATTCACTGAGTATAAAGGAAACTGCAAGTAGTATGGGTGCATTTCATGGCCACCTGGGCTTGCTAAAACAATCCTGCTGGGCACAGAGCAAGAAGGGAGAAAGAGAAGTAAGTACAGAAGTGAGGTGAAAAGACAACATGCCAAAATGGACAGACCTGAGGCAGAGTGAGGCATTCAGAATCAGCTACATTGGTCAAAAGGTAAGAAAACATAATGTTGATGGTATAGAAGCTACTGGTGGCGACCAGGTGTGTTTATTTTGCTCTGTGCTTACATTCAACTAGCTGGGCCCCCCTTTTCGATGAAAGGAATGATCGGTCCATAAACATCAACTGAAAGTCATTGGTCTACTATATTTACACTCTACTAGAATGGAGCAATAGATCTTGAGAGATGCAAAAAATTAGAGGGTCTAGATGTATACTCTCAAAACAAAATACGTCTCGCAAAATGTCACTTCCAGCATTTCCGCTGTGAAGGACAGCTACGCAGATTTGTTTCATTTCTCAATGGAATTATCACAAAGGCCAAAGAAGGACGAGAAATTTTTGTCAAATATATTTTTTGAAATTCAGGAAATTAATAAATAAGAAATCGGGCTCCCTCATGGGGACCTATCTATCTTTTTGCAGGTACTTGCCAACTTTCAACTCTAGATCTGTAGCTGTCGTAGTTTTATGGGAAAAGTGACACATGTGTTTCCAAGTTGCCAAATATATATTTTCAATATCAGAATTTCATTGAGTTATAATCACAATACTGAGTACATATTTAGTTTAACACTATAAAAGTTTACAACTTACTATTGTTCACCTATACTATGCATGTGACTGTGAGCCTGTTTGTGAGTACAAGCCAAGCACACCATTGTATTATTTTATGGGTATGTGCACAGATGTGTGTGGAGGAGAGGGTGTGTGAGAGAGTGTGAGTGTATATGGGTGTGTGCATGCCTGTGAGTATGCGAGTGTGTGTATTTGTGTGTGTGTGCATGTTTGTGTGTGTGTGTGTGTGTGTGTGTGTGTGTGTGTGTGTGTGTGTGTGTTGGTGTGTGTCTGTGGGTGGGCGGTTGGGTGTGTATATAGGTTTGTGGGTGGGTGTACGTTGTGAAACACCAAACCCAAGTGCCGGGATTTGGACAATACAGATGTATTTTATCTTAGAATAAGTATTAAAATATCGACTGGAAATAGCTTTAGTTAAATGGATGGTCAGTGAGGAAAGGAAGGTAGGGAGATGGTTATTCATGAGCAAGATGCAATAACAATAACCAGAAGAAAATGGCTCTACATAATGCAAACCAGAAATGATGTGTTCATGGACATGAGGTTGTCCACATTCCAATTGTTTGAAAAATGACATTTACATGATTAGAACATCACTATGAATGCTGTAGTAAAACAATGTCTTAAGAGAAGGCAGGCATCTTCAAAACATGCTGTTTGAGTCAAAACATCGATTTCCAACTCTATACATTTTGGGGGTACTTGAATATTATCTGATGAATTGATAATACTTTATGTTTCCTTGAAACATATTTTTTATAATTACCTTTAGAGGCATTTTGATGAGAGTGCCGTTCCCAAAAGTTGATATCTTTTCTCCAAATTAGCCTATACATTAGACAATGACAACAAAGTATCCCTGCCTGATCCGCTAACATGTTTAGTATTGTTGTGCCCCAAGCTTCTCTTTCAAACCCAGAAACGATCTTGAGTGATGCATTTCCGTCGCTTTATTAGTCATGTTGGACACGGCACTCCTCATTTAGTGAGTCTTAGTTTGTCTTGGACAAAACACATCCCTGGTACCAGAATAGTATATGATGTCAATATTCACTTGCAGATTGCAGCCTGGTATGGAATCTGCTACAGTTTGTTAACAGTCACCACTACTTTTTACTTTTTATTCAATAACCTATTGGATAATTATATTTATCAATGGAACCACCTCATTTACTTTTGTATTGATGGAACCTAATTCTGTTTCTGACTCATCTTTATTTTAGTACAGAGACGATAAGACTGACTTTTCCTTTTTGAATGTACATGAAGTACCACCTGAGAAGGAGTGTACACTCTCATTTCATTTCGTGTCTATTTTCCGTGTTTGCTTGTGAATCTATGTCGTGTGTGTTGGTTTCTTTTTGTGGGGAGATCCCTTCTAAAGAAAGAAAAAGGAAGAGGAGAGAGAATGGAGAGAGAGAGAGAGAGAGAGAGAGAGAGAGAGAGAGGAGAGCGTGTGATGTAATCAAAAAGAGGGAGGAAGAGAGAGAGAAACAGGGGCAGAGAGAGAGAGAGAGAGAGAGAGAGAGAGAGAGAGAGAGAGAGAGACAGAGACAGAGACAGAGACAGAGACAGAGACAGAGACAGACAAACTTTCAAGGTCAAGAACTAAAAATTAACCACTGTAAGTATGTGTACCCATTGTTGAATGCTTACACTCAGGTGGTTGATAAGTTTGAGACAAAATGCTGGAAAACACTCTCTCTTTGAAAACTAAGCTGCTTTTGATATAAGAGGTCAAAAGGGATATCAGTGTGGTAGCCTGACTCAGGTCTCTAAAATACTTTGGGGACCAAATTCTCGTACAGATTTGTAGAATGTGAGCTTTACAGTATCTTTTGTTCATGTTCATAAACCATAATTCTCTCCTTTTCTGGTAAAATTTTTTAAATGTAATTCATTATTTGCTTGGTTGTTGACTTACAGAAGATTTTGTTTGTTTTTTATTCCACACGTATGTGTCCTTACAGGGAGAAGCGAACCTCAAGGTCTACTTCCTATGCTTGTTGTCCGAGATCAAATCTAAGTACACATATAAGTTAGGCATAGAAAAATCTCTTGATACATACTTTTATTTTTACATAGTTACAGCGGCTGCTATGGAAACGGCCGCCATCTTGAAAATAAACAATGGATTTCAAATCCCAGACCAAATTTGACCAAATTTGGTGAGAGTATACCTGAACTAGTTCCTATCAATGTAACAGCACGTTTTTCTCAATAATTTTAAAAGAAAAAAAAAAAAGAGAATTTTCCCAGTGTGTTATATACACCTTTTTTAAACCTTGGTTGCATAATCGCTTGTTACTTTATTCCTTTAAGAAATACATGACTTAGAGTGCACTGATTCAAGCTTTGAGGTAAGTTTTTGTTCACATTTCTTTTGTTATTCTCTTTCAAAAAATGTATTATTTCATCATTTCTAACTCCATTATTATTTCATTTTTCCATTGTGCTATTGCCAATTGGGTTTTGATATAGTACAGCATGGATACTGACAAAGATGTTCATTTCATTGACCTGTCTTTTGTACAGACAAATTATACATTTCATTGACCTGTCTGTTATTTTGACAAATTATACATTTCATTGACCCGTCTGTTATACTGACAAATTACACATTTCATTGACTTGTCTGCAATAGTGAAAAAGCAATAAGCCATTTGGCAGGAAATATCTGTGCTTTAGCGAGTCACACGTAAAAAAACAGGATATTTTGCTTTTTATAAACAGTGTAATGAAAAACCTCTTACAGCTTTCAACCACCAATACTGAGTCTGTACCTTTATAAGTAATACAATTACACCCATATTAAAGTAACATTAAATGAAAAGTCACGATACCCTATGGTGTAAAGATTTTCCTGAACAGAGAACTAGAGTATATTTTACTACATAAATAACTTACAAGGCCCAAAGTCATACATAATGTCATTAATAATGATTACCAAGTCTGCGCAAGAATGATTTTCAAAATTCTATCCCAGTCTTCCCTGAAAGAGAAAACAAATAAAACGTTCTTTTCTTCCCTTGCTTTATTAATTGTCTCAAAATTCAAAAGACACATTAAATTGAGCTCTATCAGATAATCAGTATGAGTGTACAATGCATATCATGTTCAACAATAACAGCAGAAACTCACTTGCATGACAGTAAGGTAATGGTTACTGAGCACACCAAGGTGATCATCCAGCCAGCCATCATTCAAGATGGTCTCTCTTTCATTCTCAGCTTGCTCTTTCCTCTCATCACAGATACTCCACAGCTTCTCCTTGAGGTCATCAATTTGTTGATGAAGCTCCGCCCTAGTTTCCTCATCATCTCTCATGTCGTCAGGGACTTCGTTGTATGTCTGAGCACACATGCAGTAGACACAACACAAGGCTGGCATACAAATTGGACTTGAACTTTTATGGAAAAGATAAAATCCCGTATCTCAAAGCATGGATTGCAAATACAATGCAAAACCAACCAATACCCTACATTGCTCTTATTTTCATTGTCTAGGCTTTGTCCACGCCATAGAAATATGTTTCTATATACTTATCCATATTGAAGCAGAAGAAAACTGGGAAAAAAATATATCAAATCGATAACAATGGTATAAGTGTCACGACTCTCTGGAATCAGGCGCTCATCAATTTTGGGGCATATGGAGTTATTGGTATCATCTGAAATCCTGTCCATTTGCTTTGTTTTTGATGGACAAAATATCCATTTATCTTTGATACATGTGACAATATTAGCAATTGAAGTAGGTGGGGTCGCCTGGCTTCAGAGATAAAATTAGCGAGAAAATGACAGCCAAAGTTGCGTTATTTCCTTAGCTTGAGAGTCCGTGAAAACTGAAAATTTACATCTTTTATGCCTTTAATCAACGTTTTTTTCGTACCATCCACACAGAAGTGTGTTCTTTAATTGGCATTAAAGATGTTGAGACAAAAAACAAATATTCGATAAAAATTCCCTAACCTGAGGAAAAATGCCATTTCTTCACTTTCATTATTTTGACGAGCGCCTGATTTCACTATGCTGCCTCACATATATGTTTTTGATATGTACTTCAAAGAATACCTGAAAAGTCAATTCATACATGTGTAAAACAAAAATCTACTTGTAATATAAATTTCAGTGAAAGAAAAACCCTTACCTTTTGCCATTGTTCAATGAATTCTTGCTTGGAATCTGGACGTCGCAGATATTGTAAGAAGTCCTTTCTGATAATAAGCACAAAAGACAGAGCTAAAAATTTACATGTATAGCTGTACATTTTAAAAAATCTTTTGTTAATATCACAATATGACAAAACTCTTCCCCAGCAAAGCTTGGTTGATAGACCATTGTGACTGAATCATCTAGAACAAAGGCCCGCAAATCTGTCAAAATGAATATAATTGTGCCCTTCAAATGACTTGAAAAAAGACTTACAAAAGAGTCAAAATAATGAAATCAAAGAAATTGGCATTTTTCTGACAGTTGGGCAATTTTTTTCTAATTTTCTTTTTTTTGCCTCAACACTTTTTATATCCATTTAATAACACATTTCTGTGTGGATTTTACTGAAAAACATAGATTAAACTAACAAAAAATGTCAATTTTCAGTTTCAAAGGTCTCTAAAGCTATGGAAATTACCAAACTTTGGCGGCCATCTTCTCCCTAATTTCACCTCTGAAACCAGGCGACCCTGACCTCCGTCAATCACAAATATTTCAACTTCTATTTGACAAAGATGGATTTTTTTTCACAAGAAGCAAGGCAAATGAACAGACTTTAATATGATACTAGTAACCCCTTATGCCCCAAAATTGACGAACACCTGGTTCCACCATGCCACGACACATTTTCTATACGTTTTATAATTTTTCAAGCCAAATTATGTTGTAAAAGATTTATAGGTGTATGTTTCGCATTCCAAGACAGATACAGTCGTATTCTTCATAAAAAATGCCAAGGCAAAAACTCAATTTTGAGAAAAATGCGAAAAATTCTAAGCACATATTCAACTTCCACTATTTACAAAGATGTAAAGTCCTTCACATTTTCGTTTAGGTTTTCCAAAGATACTTTAAGATATAGATAGGTTGCAAATCAGTGAATGGCTGAAACTACAATGGTTCCAACGACACTATAAATGTGTATACTTTTACTCTCCAGGAGGACTTCTTGCTGAGGCTCAAATTTAAGCTTTTTTTCAGAGTGCTAACAAAAGTAAAAACACGATGTCTCCTTTGGGGCAATTTTTTAAAGTTTTATGTACACTCGCATGTGAAAAAATCGTCTGAAATGGATACCTCACACAATTTCCTGTCAGAATTGATCAAAAAAATTTAATGAAATTTATCACCAGACGATTAGATTTGTCTGGTGTCTTTCCCATGGATTGCTTCAAATCATTTCCCCTGGGTTTCATACTGAGTGCCAGTAGCACTCTTAAAGCTCAGTCTGTTGAAGTCATAGCACAAGTACCACGTATAATTCATAATTTAGATACAATAAATGTATTTCAGATTAAATAAATTACAAGGTGAAGATCACTATCTTCATTTCCAACTGGATAAAATTGAATAAGACAAACCAAAATGCATCATACTATACGTTTTTTTAAATACCTGATCTGGAAAAAATATCTGTATATGTTTTCTCTCTCGCCACGCAAGTTGCGGAACACTGTCTTGCAATTGTTGACATAAGTCTTCTCAGTTTCTTCCCAGTGAAGAACCAACACTTTGGCAAGCTCCTGGAAGGTTAAAAAAACTCACATTTAGCACCTACCAAAAGACAATTAAAGATATTTCTGTTTCACAATTTACCTCCATCATGATCTTTTTTCTCTTGTCTCAAAATAATTCTTGGCAAATTAAATATAATGTGAATTAAGGTGCAGAATACAGCTTTCTATTATTTAGCAGATACACCCTTTTGTAAGTATATTATACATCTATGTTACGCCGTTCATGTTCCAAAAGTTCTACAATTTTTGTTGAGCCATTTTCTTAATATAGATTTTTTACATCCTCATTTGTCAAAAAAAAAATTCACAATTTAGCATTGCCTGTTTCTGCGCGTCTACTGAAATAACCAGACAAGATACAATGTCCATTTTTTTTACTCTCTAGAGCAAAAATACATGCTTTAGGTGCATGAATGATAATTACCATAAGAAAAAGAATAAACCTAAAACTTTAAATTGAAAAGTACCAAAGATTTAGTCAGCCAAAGTGGCTACAGAGCGCTGACCCCTGTGACCACGACGAGATAAGGGATTCAGCGGGGAACCCCCGCTGCAACTAAAATTCCACTGCTGGTAGGCCTTGAAACAAATCTCTTGAACTTTCAATCAACACAAAAAGTATAGTAAAAGAAAGGACAAAATAAAGTAAAGTGGTGTCAAGATTAACTCATTCGCTACGCCGAGCCGTGGGGGGCGGCGCGGCTGAAGTGCCGTCAGTACGCTAAGCCGCCCCTGGCAGCTCGAGAACCGATCTTCAGTTTTAGCTTAGATTATATTCCAATCCACATGTCCATGTTAAAATAAAGGTCATAATTTAATGTTGACTTCCGGGTCAAGCATTTCCACTGAAAATCGGAAATTCAGATTCAGTTTTAAAACGCAATTTCGTAGTTTATTCGACTTTGTTTTATCGCGATGCCAAAATTATAGCCCGGACACCAGTCTTAGTAATTTTACACCACAAAATCTATCATTATTTTTCCCACAAAAGAAATGTAGGACTCTTTTTATAATATTGATACGATTGGACTCATATTGCCAATGCACTGTTATTGAGAAATCAATATTTTTTAGTGCTAGATCTAGGTCTAATCTAGATCTAAACTAAATTGTCAAAATATATTTTTCTCCCCAAAATCACTACTTTTTGATTAAATTACACAAAATATGCCACTCAAGACTGTATAAGTTTATTCCAAATGCAATTCTGAATAATTCCATATAAGATACGAGTGAGTTTTTGCTGTTTGTGATCGTTTTTCAAGATTATAAAATTGTTGGGTTTTTAAATAACTGCAAACTTTTCAATATTTTCCAGTTCTATATTCATTTATGGTTATTTTGATGTATCATTTGACTAGGTGCACACATAGTTTTTGAGTTTCACCAAAGATTATTAATTTTTTATTTTCAAATTTTTTCCGCATCCAATCAAAATTGTGTTGCATAATCGCCTCTTACAGGAACCAAAGTTGAAAAATACATAAATAAACATTACATATGTATTCTACAAACCATACTGAAATTATTGGTATATAATACGTTGATATTTATTTGAATTTGTTGCCCCATAGACCTTTTAACTGCCCACTAGTCATCATCTCATTTCGCCCTCCCGAAAAAAATTCTTCCACAAGCCGAAAATAATACGTAGCGAATGAGTTAAATGCCACAGGTAAATAGGCCCCTGCACCAGGGGAAATCCCATAAATCAAGGCCACTCAAGGGTGACCCCACTCTACATCCCATAATTTTTTTATTTATGAATATTTCCTCATGAATTTTTGCATGTACATTCTACATTGAACCACATTTCTATTGATATAATTTTAGGGAGATTTCATAGAGAGATAGATGGAGAAAAGTTGGAGTTAGTAACACGATGCCAAAAACAGCACCACCAAACATAAACATTACAACACATATTTGAGTAATGACAAAAAAAGGGGAATTATGTTGTGCGAGTGTTTGCAGGTAAAGAAAAAGTGACAAAAGGCTTTTCCTACCTTATGCAATGCTCGTACAATCCATATATGATTACATGTAAGCCCATCTGTGCTTACTGCCAGTAAATCATTTTTGTGTGGTAGATGTGTAGATCTAGATCTAATCTTCTCTGCGAGCTAAAATCTAAACCTGACACTTTCAAAAGGAGGAAAAACTGATGTAAACATAAAGTGATGGTAGTCCAATAATAATTACAATATTTTAGCAGTACCTTCCCTCGTAATGTGTATCAAAACAGCCTCTGTCACAGTCCCGTAAATTCTACCGGCCATAGGCACAGTGCTACTCGGTTCAGGCCCGTAAATACTACGGGCGCGGCAGCAAAGAGGTCAATTTCATGATCTTGTTGAAATCTATTGGTTTTCAAAGAAACCTGAAGCAAAATGACAGAATGACTTCTGTGGTCTCTTTGACTGTTTATTGGGCAATCTGGCGTGTTGGTCAATAACAGTAAGTTAGGCCTAGCCTATTGTATTGTTTGGCGCAAGTGTGTAAAGCAGAGAGAGTGAGTGAGTAAGTGTGAGACGAGTTCAGTCTGGATTACAACAGGATAGAGGGAAGAGCTGTATCGAGGAAGAGGAGGCCTGCAGAGATTTTGGCGTGAGGAAAGGGGGAATGCCTGTTTAGAGCCTGAGTCTATTTCTGTGCTTGTGTTGGGAGATTCCAACATATCGGGGCCCCACTGCAGAGGAAAAGATCACACGATCTAGAGAGAGAGAGACAGGTTTGGCTAACCCTTGTAACTGTAAAACCCATCTCCGCAGGCAACCAAAAGGTTAGTGTTGAATATTCTTTCATGTATAAGTAACACTGTAAACTAACATCATCAACATCCAAGTCAACAAACTCCCATTCCTCATCCCCAGGTTTAGGTGGGGGTGGCCCACTGGGCTCCTCAGGCTCAGGTTCGGGTTCAGGTTCTGGAGTCTTGGACTTCTTTGAGCCTTTTTTACCAGCAGATTTAGGAGATGAGCCTGTGGAGGAAATCAAAATTGACAATATTATGTATATATGTATGCAGAGAAGGAGATGGGAGGACAACTTTACAGAATGGACAGGAAAGACGATGGGTGACAACCTGAGGAAAGCAGAGAACAAAAAAAGATGGCGAGAGCTGGTTTTCAGATGCAGTGGTGCCCCCACGGTTGCCCCAACCAGGGGATAGAAGAATAAGAAGAAGAAGATGTATGCAGTTGGACATTGTCAATAGGCCTACATGAAAAAGGAATGAATTTTATAAAGTGGACAGAATCATTGAAAATAATCTCTATCTCAAATGTTTTGCCTCTGTCCTGTCCTTATTAGCTGGACTGACCACAGTCAAGATAAAAGTCTATCAGAAATATAGTGCACACTACTGTGACTTTGAAATTAAGAAGAAAGAAAAAAGTCATTTTTATTTATTCTTGCAGAAATTTGGTTTACAACAAATGTGTATAATCTGACATCGTAGTTCACCGCGGGCGCTGCAAACACGGTGTGGCCGTGGAAAATTGGATCAACTATGCTGCGGAATTTCACCTGCGGCAGCCGCAGAATTTTTATTTTTTGCAGAATGTTGAAAAATTTTGCAGCATTATTATGCTTTCAGACGTAGAATTGCGAGGGGGAAAAAATTTAACTGAAGCGAGCTGATGACGTTAGAGTGATCTCCCTCTCACCGGAAGCCGGAAATTAGAGTGTTCTCTTTTTTTGGAAACAAAATTGATATAGATTTAGATTCTTGTTATTTTAGCTTTAGTAGGGTTTTACGGCGCTCGCAACTGCACAGGTCATATGAGCGCCAAGGGGTGGATGTCAACAGAGAGGTCTAGACGGGGAATCAGGCTTACTCTGCTCACCCTTCTAGCCTCAACAGTACAAAGTCTGCTTCGACTATCAAGGCACCCCGGAAATAGCAGTTAACAAGAGAGTGACAAACATACAAAAAAGTAGAGGTAAAAATGATGATAGTAAGGATGAGGAAAGAAAAAGCAGCAGTTCCTCTTATTCCCTATGTTCTTCCGGCACAGTATGGGCATGACATTGATAAATCAGCCCATTTACAATTCTATTGTTCATAAGAACATGTTAATATCCCCCTTTTGGGAATGGCTTAGAAACACTTCAGTCAGGAGCACTGCCCTCTTTATTCTATTCTGCATGCGCTATTGTATAGGAGTACAGGTGAGATGGGATTTGTCTTTCAGCAAAAATGGATACATTTTTTAAAGGAAAGAATGCATTGAAAACAAATGCCGCTGAATGTCAGCTTCAGTTTCCCAAAAACTGTTCTGTTAACTCGTAAGTAATGTGGTACTTGACCACACCTGTAAATCGATGGTTTTCAATGGCAGTGGCCTCTGAAGAGATCTCGAAAATGGAGGCTTCGGGATGGAGTCTCCTCTGGTGTATATTGTTAGAAGATAGGACAGCGGCGCCCACAGCAGAGTCCGAGTTAGAGCCATATGAGAAGATTAGCTCCGCACCGGGGTATTTTTCTATAAATGTTTTGTAGTCTGCTTTAAATGTTTTGGTGTTTGTGTTTGCTTTGCTGTGTGTGGTGAGCTCTAAGTCTACTTTTGCCTTGGTGAGTTGTGATGGAGGGAGGTCGAGAAAAAGAAATCGTTCAATGTCTGGTTTAGAATAGTGTATGTTTTTGAGGTCCTCAAGGACTGAGGCTAAAAGGTTCAATGAGTTTTTCCTCGTTGTTTTTTAATTTGTTTATGGTGTCTGGGAGTGTTCTGAATATGCAGCCGTGTGCTGGGTTCTCTGGAGTTGAGCTCTGTTTAATTGCGTATTGCAGTGAGAGTTCTGTGAGTCTGAGAGTGAGTGATGGCTTGTTTGCTTTGGCCTGAAGGCTCTCCACTGGAGAAGGAAAGAAAGCCCCCTGGACGAAGCGGAGTCCTTGGTTTTGTACTGGGTCTAGCATTTTTAGGACGTAGGGTTTTGCCAATCCATAGATTTGACAGCTGTAGTCAAGCCTGGACAAGGGAAATGTACAGGTGGAGAAAGTGTTTTGAGTCCCTGCCCCATTCCGGATACGACAACATTTTTTAAGCATTTAATGCTTTCTGGCACCTCACACGAAAAGACTTTTATGTGTGGGATGAATGTAAGTTTCTTGTCAAATATAATGCTGAGGAAACGAGCCTGGTCCTGAATCCTTTCCGTGTATAGTGTCAAATCCTATTGCAGTACACGTCTGCCTGATCGGAAGAAGTGTACTGCAACCTTTGACGGGGAAAACTTAAAACTGTTATTATTTGCCCCCTTTTCAAGTTTGTGCAGCTACATTTGCAGCAGCCTTTCCATAGACCTTAGTTGAGGATTTTTGGAACGGCAGCATATCAGGAAGTTGTCAATGAGCTGTCTATGCTATTTTGGAGGTCTGAACGATTGGAGTCTATTTTCATTTCAAAGAGGACATGGTGGGGATCTGAAAGGGAGAATCTCACACGAACCTGGAAGGAATGGTTCTTTAAGAAATTGCCAATGAAGGCAGGAGGTGACCAAACAGGCCTAGAAAATGCAGGTCTCTGAGAATGCCATACTTCCAGGTTGTGTTGAAGGCTTTTTCTTGGTTAAAAAAAGATGGCGACCATGTGGCCTCCATCGGCAAACGTCTCGAGTTCAAAGGTCTCCAGGCTGACCAGGAGATCTAGAGAGGATCAGGTTTTCCTGAATTCACACTGGAGACCGCTCAGCGAGCGCGTCGTCTCCAGAAACCACATGATTCACCTCTGAATCATTTTTTCTATAAGTTTGTACAGACAGCTCGTCAGTGCGATTGGTTGGCAGATGGATGGGTATTTGTGGTCTTTGTTTGGTATGGGTATTGGAATGACAGTGGCGAGTCGCCAAGACTGCGGAAAGGTGTGCGGCCGCCACATGTTGTTGTATATGTCTAGGAGTGTAAGCGTTTCTGAGGGTAAATGTGTAAGGATCTCGTTGTGGAAGGAAATAAGATAGACTTGATACACCAATGTAAGTATCAACATTTTCATCTTAGGACAGATGTTGATGAGTATAATTAGACAGGTAAATGGATTGCACCCCTTGCCAATAAAGAGCAGGTCAATTTGCTACCCCTAAATGGCTGAACCATATTCAGGTGCAAGTAACTGTGGGAAGCTACATCTGAAATACTGACATCAGATAAAAGAAAACCTCAAAACTTGCAGTGGTCACCTACCTCGGCTTCCCTTCTTGTCCTTGGCACTGCCAGTATCTGACTTTTTGCCCTTTGGAGACTTTGATTTTTTGGAACCTCCAGACTTTGCTGACCCTGATGAAAGGTAGAATATTGGTTTTTAGGTACACACAAGCAGGTTTAGCGACTTCATTTACAAGGGAGAATAGTGATTGCAGGAAATCTTTTTTGGACTACTTAGCACCATTGTTCAGTTAGAAGTGTAAATAGAACATTTGGGAGAAAGTAGAGAAAGGATTCCAAACCTATACTTTTAATAACATTGATATTTCACCGCAAATGTTTGCATTGTCACTCTCTTTTCTTGGAGGAAATGTAAAATAAGTGCCCATTTTTGTCAACATAAGACAATGCAATTTCTTGCACTTATGCATGACAACAGAAATAAAAACAAAATAAGAATCACTTTCCTGTTTAGTCATGTCAACACTCATCTGCGAATATCTTTGAAATTTGCTTTCATTCTATAAAAGAGGACAGGACAAGGCTTTAAAAAAGAAAGCCTTAAATGCTGTTTACTTATAAGGTTGCTAAAACATACACACAATTTAAGAGAAAAAAAAGTAAGTGTATGAGTTTAACGCCAATATCAACACTATTAAGTTATTTAACAGGTGTGTTCTCCGAATTTAAAGTCCATCTTCATAGAACTGAGCCAAACGTGCTGAGATCCTTAAAAACAACCCAGGTTCAAGATTGTCCAGTCTCGGATTCAAACCAGGGCCATCCATTTCAAAGTCCAGCATGATACCATCTGAGCTAATGGGGGGACCGTGATTTAAGTGTGCAAAACATCAAATGACAAAACATGAATTTTTAGAAACACACACACAAAAAAGGAAAATGGGAACCAAATTTGTTACAATGCAAAAAAAAACAAGAAAAGAATAATTGTCAATCTCAAGAAACGATGATTCACTACAAAACCTGCATCATCACCATCGCTAACAAGTGCCTTGGAGAGGTCAACTGTTATGTTAACATTGAATTCAACGGGGCCATTCAAAAGATTAGGTTTCTCTGTTTCACAACCAAGATCAGATTTTTCCTCTGTGAGACCAGATTCCTGCTCAGATGTTCCAGATATTTCATTTGACTTGTTCTCTCCTGTTTCTGCTGATCCTGATCCAGATTTTTCATTTTCTGATTCAGTCTCCCCTTCAGCTCCTGTGACAGTAGAAGTTTTGAACATTTTTCTTCTGTGCCTTATAGGCCAATATCTGACATGCATGGTTTTCAAACAAGAGTGTGCTGTCGGTCTAGAAAAAAAAGAAAAAAGCAATCCCAGGAAACTTTTTTTCACATTCCTTTGCATGATCAAAATCAAGCAAAAACACTTGATTCATTACAAGCAATTTATTATTTACTATCCAAGCGCCACTAACAAATAGCCTGTGGTGTCAAGGAAAATCAAAATAACAAAATCTCAAAAACAGGCATTTTTCTCCCACTTAAGCAATTTTTATAGAATTTTTGTATTTTGGTTCAACCCCTTTTATGTGAATACAAAAACATATTTCTAAGTGAATTTTACTGAAAAACGTTGATTAACTCTTTATTATCTCTGCTGAGGGAGGTAAACCCACTATGCTGGGGCTCTTTTTTGGTACTAAATCTGAAATTGACCAAAACATCACTAAATTGGCCATTAAATCAAAACATGTGACTTATTTTGATAGTTCTTCATCTAAGGAATGAAATCCCGATAAAAAAAGACCTGTTTTTGGCAATTAGCCAAAAAGCAATTTGATGTCAAAGTCGTTGTAAAAGAATGTACCCGAACCGCTCGGCTCACTAGTTCCGACCGCAAGCCGCTGGGAGCAGCTTGCTGCAGATAAAGAGTTAAAGGCATAAAATAAGTCATAATTCAGTTTTCAAGGACACTTTAGCTATTGGAGTTACCAAACCTTGGCAGCCATTTTCTCGCTAATTTCACCACTAAAACCAGGCGGCCTCACCTCCTTCAATCGCAGATATCTTGACTTCTATTCAAGATAGATGTGTATTTTTTTTCCTTGAAAGCAAAACAAAATTAGCTTTTAGATTATACCGATAACTCCATCACCCCAAAATTGATGAGCACCTGATTTCACTGCGTCATGACACATATTATGTCGGAAAATGCTTGAGATCAGGAAAACCACGCAAGTAAAGGCCATAAACCTGGACAATTTCAAGAAGAAGAATGAACATAGTAAGAAAAGCTCATTTGTGAAGGTGTTGATATGTTTGGTGATATGTATATAAAGGGCCAGAATAATTGAACTGAAATAGCCATTCAAATTATGACCAATTAAATCAGCCATTACATCACAGAACAAAATTTATTGCCACTGACACTGGGAGGGTTAAAAGAATGATTTATCAAAACATGACCATCATTCTACTGAGCAATGTTTTGGCTTCCGGAAAGAAAAGTAGCCATGCAGAGCAATAGTCATCATGAAAGAAACAGGCTAGAAAATAATCTCTTCCGAGTACTCAGACAACATGTGCAACTCACCAGCTCTGCTACCAGCTTTAGATGATGGTCTTGAAGTTCGAACATCCGGACCTCCAGGCGCAGCCTCTTCTTTGGGTGGTTCAGGCGGGAGCTCTGGGGGGGCCCCTGGAGCCTTGGTGATAGAAGAAGAGAATATTATAAGCTGAGATATGAGAACAACTTTGCACCTTGTCCCACAGGTCATATTTGTTAAGAAACTACCAAGAAGAACTGTAGAAAATTGTGAGTGAGAGAGAGAGAGAGAGAAAGAGAGAGAGAGAGAGAGAGAGAGAGAGAGAGAGAGAGAGAGAGAGAGACAGAGAGACAGAGAGACAGAGAGACAGAGAGAGAGAGAGAGAGCAATAGGTCACCAGACAAACATCTGTGCTCTAGAATTTTGGATTTTTTTTTTTTTGATTTTTTAATATTATGACTTCCATAAAGTGTCAAAGCATCTTCATATCATACTAAGAAATTTGTAAAAGCAAACATCTCAAAATTCTAAGACCTAGACAAAGTGCCATGATTCAAGAAATAGTACCGTGATAAGTATTTCTCAACATGAAAGTGTCAGAGGCAGGAAAATAGTCTTGAGCCTCACACGACATGTAAATAAATTGGTTGAACCAAAGCTCTAAATTCATGACATACCAGAGGCTATTTTGATAACTTTTGAATTTCAAATGGTTGTCAGTATTAAAATAAGGCATACAAACCTCTTTCTCTTCAATTTTCTCAGCCTCTGCAGTGGCAGCTGCGACTTCTTCTTGATCTTTTTTCTGAATCTGTCAAGAAGAATGTGATTTTATTAAATTTTAATATATTTTCCTATACAGGAGGATTTTACTGAAATTGTCTTTCCCTTCTCATCATCATCAAGTACCAGATCTGCAACAGACATCGGCCATCATAGTTTTTCATTCATTCCTTTACTTGGGTGCTCTACAATGTTTTTATCTTTCCCCTTCACCTACCTATATTTAGGCTCTCCAAGTAGATTGCTCTGTGTCTATCCCTGCCTCATTACCTTCAACTTTGCCAGTGAGAGCTAGATGTTCAAGTTCTTTATGTCTCTTCAAGTGTCCCAGAAACTGCATTTGCCTTTTCTTGATTGTTTCTGTCAGTGAACAGCTCATGTTGGCTTCTTCCAGTGCTATCTCTCTCTCTATATATATATGATTTCTTTTTCTTCCAAGATTAGTCTCCTAAGAAATCACATTTCTGTTGGGGTGCTCTCGTGGCTTAGAGGTTAAGGTGTTGGCCTCACATTCAAAGGTCCCCGGGTTCAACTCCGGGCAGCGACCGAAAAAAACATTTCTTCTCTAAAATTGTTTCCTTTCACCTCCTTTCCTGCTCTTTAGCAATGTTCTGTTGTCTGCTTTGGTCTCCTCTTCCTGCCCCCCACCCCCTCACCTCATTTGCCCTCTCCTCTGGGCTCCTGACTCTTTCTGCAGCTTTTCTACTGCTACTCCTTGGCTCCTTCTTACTGCTGTCTTTCAGCCACACCCCTGATCTTCTGGTAGGAAAGATCTACACCTAGCCTTCTCGGACAAGGGCGAAAAATCTTGGAGGTCTCGTGTGCAAGGTGCGCATGTTAAAGATCCCTTGGTGGTCTAAAATTGATAAGAGTAGGCTTCGGCCGCCACCCGGGCAAAATTCAAAATGTCCTACCAACTGAAAAAGTTTAACATGTTCCACATGCTCATATGACCTTATGCAGTTGCGAGCGCCGTAAAACACTTATCAGGGAAAAAAAACATTTCTGTTGCTTTTATTTTTATTTTTCCCTATCTGTAGTGATTGTCCAGCATTCACAGCCATATAGAAGGGTTAAAAATATAGCATTTATCAGAACTTTCATTCTGGTAGTTATTGAGACGTTTCTACTTCGATCTCAGGATTGGGCTCACTTTATTAAAACTGTCTTTGCCATTGCAACTCTTCATTTTATTTCTGTGGAACATGTGGCATCACATGTAATTGTATCTAGATATTTAAAGAGTTGAACTTGTTTGATCTTTTCGCCTCTGCTTATAGGATTCATGGCTTTTTTAGATACTTTACTTTATTTTTCCAATCCAGTGGCCATCTGAGTTCTAGCCCTTTGGCCTGTCGATACAGCAAAGAATTTACAGGTTTTTATCAGCTGTGTTTTGTCACTGTATAGGGCATTTCCAACATCTGGGAAAGCAGGTAGATAAGTACTATGCAGGTCGCTAAGTGCAGGGCAGATAAAGAGATGGTATGATACTGTTTCATCCTGAATCTTGGAAGTCACGTAGCAGGCAGGCAGGTGGGGTATCCTAATGGATCCTGTTTAGGCAGGAATTCAGTGGGATGTGTTGTGTTCACAGGCAAAAGACAGTGACTTGTTCTCTTCTACTCAGGAAATTTAGTGCATCTTTTGGGTTATGAGCAGTCATGTGTGCAAATACAGCTCTTCCAGTTTTGCCCATTGCCCATCCATTCAGTCACTGCTAACTGGTAGGCATTTGATGATGTTCTTAACTGTTCATGGCAAGGGTGTCTGTTGAGTCATTTCCTGAGATGTTGCTGTAGCCAGGTAACCATTGTAAAGTTAGGTCAATGGCATAGGTCTGCATGGCAATGTTAATTGTTAGAGTCACAGATAGGCAGGCTGGGCTTTCAAAATTCATGTTCTCCAAGGCTTGGAGTACTGATTTTCTGTCTGTGAAAATTACAGTGTCCTTGGCTTTGTCTGGACATGTAATGAATATGTTGGTCAGGTGGAGGATTGCTGCTTCAATGACAATGGTCTCTGCTTCATAATTTGTACAAATTAAGCATCAAATAAACTCGCACAAAACAGTCAAGGAATAACAATTCAAAGAAAGATATCTGAAAAATGTTTAAACCGAATTTATTCATTTTTTTCCACAAAGATCCTTTCGACTCTCTAGATTAAGAGTGTACAATTTCACATTTATTATTTAAAATCGTCTGAACCTTAATTAGGTGGAGTAAAAGACAATACAATACAAAACATTGCTGCCATTTTGATTCTATTTGATGTTTAATACAACTTACCTTACAAAGGGTGTCCTCAAGAATCTTTTCTGTTTCAAAATATACAGAATCTTTCTCAAGGCTGGCATCTACTGTCTTTAGGGTGCCAAACCTTTGGAACCATTTTTCCAGCTTGCTCCACTGGTCTAGAAAACCTGTGATCCTGGAAACAAATTTTTCATACAGATATTTTGAATGAGAAGGCAGAACGAAATTGTTTTTAGCACTTTTTCACCAGCTGTTCAAGTATTTACAACAGTCAATGGAGGATACCACATCCTATGTATCTATCTTTATGAAAGATGAATGTCATATCATTGAACCAAGCAAAAGGAAACCTCTTAAATTGTTGTCTTTGTTCTTCTCCACTGTTGCATTTCAACCTATTTTACACATAATATTATCCAAATATGGCTAATGATCTCACTGGAAGGCTCACCTAAGTATTTTGGGTTCAAAACTCAATGACACCTAAGACAAAAGAGTGGAAGAGCATACTGAAGTTATTAACTGGGTGTTACTTGCTCAAATTCTGCTCCTACATGTCCTTCCTTCCTTCTTCTTTCTCATTCTTTGTCCCATTCCCACACGTTTTCCCCCTTTCCCTTTAGTATTGGATGTATAGACAAAAACAAAGATGTAACCCACCTAGTTTGAATCTGCTCTTGATCGTACGCTTGGTCCTTGACAGGTTGTACTTTTTCTGTGTTGCCAACACCCGTTGCGCTGCCCTCAGGAGGAGGATTGAATTCTTCATGAAAAGTTTTCTCAGCCTGAATTTGTTCTGGAACAGCAAAAACATTTGTATATATTGATGTTAAGTAAAAAAACCCAAAACAACTGACTTTAAAAGTCTTAAAAACTTGAAAGGGGCTCTAACAGAAGAATATGTGTTCACTGAGCTGAAAACAATGGCCACAACATACTAAATCTGGCTTTTGTGAATCCAGCAATAAAAAATCTAAAACAGGTACTATTTCGATTTGAGCATAAACATAGCTTTAGGACATGAAACTCTGGGAGGACAGAACTCTGTGATGGGAAAAAGGATACATTTTATGACATGGTAGCATTCTCTAAAGTTTCATTTGACCAAAATTCCTTTGCACTGCAGACAATTTCCAAGCCCTCTAAAATGGAGATCATTCCGCTCTCTCTGGACCACAATATTCCACTTCAAGTTCAAAACGTTTCAAAAGAGGAGCTGTTTAACATGTGCATGGACCAAAGAAATTTCGACATTTAGTTAGCCAAACTCACCAACTCTTCCAGCAGCTCTCTTCAAGCAAAGTTCATCCCTAATGTCAAACAAGACAACCACATCAATACCACTGGGTGGGTCAGGTGGGGGTGGAGGAGGTCGTGGATCTGGGACTAAGCTGGATTTCCTCTTTATCTTTGGTTCTCGCTTTGCGGTCTCCCGCGCATTGCCGTCATATCCACTGAGAGATTTCTCCAGCATTTTGGCTTGGTTGTAGTTCTGAGGATAACCATCAAGTATCCAGCCTGTTCCCTCTGGTACACGTCTATGGAAGAAATGAAAACACCTCTCAGTTGAAACAATCCCTCTTTGAGTAGATAAATATTACTACAATAAGAACTTTACAATGTATTTAACAAACTATTGTGGGGTATGTTAGGTAAAAATACTTTCAACAATCACATTAAATTTCAAAATTACTTTAAAACCAGATTATGCGGGTGAAGTCTGTGTCAGTACATGCATTTTTAATCCACCTTTTAAGAAATTAGCAAGGATCAATCAACAATGCTTACAGAGAAGTTTTTTTTCCTTTAAGAATGCCTAAGCAGCTATAAATCAAACATCTAATCTGTCTTAAAATATTAGGAATTAATTTTTACTGTGTAACAGAATTTTCATCATCACGGTGCAAAATTTGAATTTTATCAAATAGCCTGAATTAACAACCCCATCCCAGTTCCCTTACCCGCTGAATCCAATAAATGCACCAGGATATAAAATTCTATTCATTGTTTCTAAAAAAAAGAATTGACAGAAAAACACGAAAGAGAGAGAGAGAGAGAGAGAGAGAAAGAGAGAGAGAGAGAGAGAGAGAGAGAGAGAGAGAGAGAGAGAGAGAGAGAGAGAGACAGATAGACAGACAGACAGACAGACAGACAGAGACAGAGAGAGAGACAGAGAGAGACAGAGAGAGACAGAGAGAGACAGAGAGACAGAGAGACAGAGAGAGACAGAGACACATAATAGAGAGAGACAGAGACAGAGAGAAAGAGACAGAGAGAAGTGGGAGTGTGGTGTTGGGAAAGGAAGAACAGAAAGCACCATGACAAAGAAACAAAAAGGGATAGAATTCTTATTTAAAATATTATCTCCCAAGACATATATAAACTAAGACAACAAAACTATTGCTTCCAGTGCTGTTCCATGTTCAGTGTAAGTGAAGCACCATCATGCATAGAAACTATTCTACACACCTGATTGCTTCAATAATGACATCCACTACTATCTGATCATCAACAGGGCGACCTTTTTTTAGGAACTTCAAGGCCTTGGAGCCCAACTTAGCTCTAGCAGTAGGCTGTCAAAGAAAAATGAACAAAACAAACAGGATCAAGTTAAGCTCAGAAGACAATCACAAAAAATGAATACAATGACGTGGCATCGGTGGTCTAGTGGTTAGGCTACCGGACTCCTAATCGTAAGGTTGTGGGGTCGGGTGTTCGAGCCGCAGGCCCGATGTTGTGTCCTTGGGAAAGACACTTTACACGAAGTTTCCTCACTTCACCCAGGTGAAAATGGGTACCCAGCCATAGACAGCGAAAGATCTTGTCAGTATGTTAGTGTTTTAGCGCCTATAAATGGCTGCTTGCACTGTATGCTTCCCAGAAAGTTGAGTTTGTTTCAGAATGCTCACAGATCTGCTGGGGTAATAGCATAGATTGTGAAGCGCATGGAGCTTGGAGCTTGCTGTTGAGCAGGGATTTGCGCTATACAAATGCTATCTATTACAATGACTAAGGCATGTTCTCTTCCTCAAATGAGATAAAGAGGATGTGAGAGTCAGGGTAAGAAATATTCCTGGGGCGAGTAAAGTACACAAGGATTATATCCATTACAGAGCTATATTTTTTTGTTCATTACATGAGTGTTTTAGTCCTGTGAATTTTTTGTATACACATAGAAATCCTAACCTTACACTTTGCCACAAAAGCAAGTACAGGCTGAATATCAGTCCAGGGTAAACTTAAGAACCAGAACTTCTATTTAACTTCAAGAAAATATATTTGGTAAACAAACAAAAATCATTTTCATTTTAGACGTTGAAGCTAACATCCACAACATAAACTCTGCACCTCACAGCCCACCAAAAACTGCAGTTATTTTTAGTAACAGTTATTTTTAGTAATAATCCATAACTTTTAAAAATGAGCCAGGATCATTAAAATACACACACACACATACATATATATATATATATATATATATTATATATATATATATAATATATTCTTATACATCCTGTTCACTCTACCTAATGCTACATCATCTTTTCTTCCTGTTTTTCTACAGTACAGATAGGAATATAGGAATGTATATACATATTAAAGGGGGTACTACCTGAGGGCCAGCATTAGCCTTTGACCTCCTGAATCCAGTGGAAGACTTGGTTAGATCAGTGGACAATTCACGTTTGGTGCTGCCAGCTGTACCAGGGGGCTCAGTGCCAGCCTGAGAGCCAGACTTCTCCACGGTTACTGGTTCTGATAAATAAAAAATTAAACGCCTAATAGAAAGAAGACTGAGATCCTAAAGTATACAAGGAGAGAAGCATAGGAAATGCAGAGACAGAAAAGTTTCTTCTGATACTGTAATGAACGTATTACTCAAAAACAATTTTTCGAGCTCATTCATTCATTTTAAAACATGGCTACACTTTGCAGATAATAGTTCTTTGCACTGAAAAAAAAAATGTGCAACTAATATTATATATTAGTATAATACAATTTTTAATTGAGTGCAGGGCACATCTGTCACCTGCAAATTTCTTCCTGATATCCTCAAACAGGATGAAAGTTATAAACTTATGTTGTTGTTATGCCAACATATGTATATATATATAATTATATAAGCACTCATTTTAGAAAATAGAGGTGATAATGTCAAAAGAACATTATTGTGTTAGTTCTGCAATGGGCTTTAAAAACCCTCTTGATAGTCAAATTATATTTTGATCAAAGCTAACAATTAAGTTTTAGCAATGTCTCAGTACTGTCGAGATTTAGTGTAGAAATCACCTGGAATATCTGGAAAGATCCACGTGGACACCGAAGTAGCTTCTCTATCTACAGTTCAAAAACAGCTTCTAAAACAAAATTGGTTTAAAACATTGAATTCTCTTTGAAATTCAATTCAATATACACCCAGAAAACATAGGCCGACATGATTTCTTTTCGCATTGCACTTAATGGCTGAAAGCAATACCTCTACGGGCCACTCGATCACTGAAAATGAACCAAGAATGTGTATGTTTTTCTTACCGGTCGCTGGAGTTGCTGCCACTTCACCAGGTGCTGTATCACCACTCTGGCCTGCAGTGAACAAAAATGGTTTGTAACAAACTGTAACAGTTTCTCAAAGTCATTTCACAGAATTTTTTATTTTTTTCTATCATGATCTTTGTCAACTTATTCTCTTTTTTAAACCAGTCTTTATTCTGAAAAAAAAAAAACGACAAGGTTTTTCTTGCTTTGTACACAGTATACACTTACAAGAATATTATGCTTTAGCTAAAAGTTTGCTCTCAATGAATAATAATAATCTGACTTTTTTCACATTCTTTAACTCTTTCCCAACAGGGGCCTGTTCAACTTTTAAACAAATCTTTTAAAGAGCAGGTCACAGGAAGCACACAGCATTTAAGATAAGATAAAATAAGACAAGATAAGATAAGGTAAGGTAAGGTAAGGTAAGGTAAGGTAAGGTAAGGTAAGGTAAGGTAAGGTAAGGTAAGGTAAGGTAAGGTAAGGTAAGGAAAGGTAAAGTAAAGAAAGGTAAGGTAAGGTAAGGTAAGGTAAGGTAAGGTAAGGTAAGGTAAGGTAAGGTAAGGTAAGGTAAGGTAAGGTAAGGTAAGGTAAGGTAGGGTAAGGTAAGGCAAGGTAAGGTAAGGTAAGGTAAGGTAAGGTAAGGTAAGGTAAGGTAAGGTAAGGTAAGGTACTGTCTGGATCCTGGCCCATTAGTATGGTGTTTCAACAAGTATGCACACACACACACACACACACACACACACCTATGCACATGATCGGTCATCTCTGCACCAATTTCAACAAATTTTCAAACAAACACAATTCAACCAGGGGGATTTTAAGTTTGAAAATTTGAAGAAAATCAATTGACCTTTTCGAGAAATATCCTGTTTTAAAGATTCAAGCAAAATTGGGTTAAATGCAAAATGTTACCCATTAAAAGGCGTTCAGTTACAGAGGTGTGATCAGTAGCTTCTGGTTTCACAACAAGGTCGGTAAAATCACAAAACAATCGCATCAGATGGAACATAATATATAGATCTCATTGTGCTGAGAAAGTTTGGGAGACTTTTGGGGAGGAGAAGGTTTTATGCTGTAGAGGCCTGGTTGGTTCCAGTTACCCCACCACACACGTCAAGCGTAGCCTTTGTATGGTTGCAAGAAAAGTTTGGGGAGCGCCGCCTTATTAGCCCAAACCTTACAAATGAACCATCTCAATCTCATCTCCCCGCCCCCCCCCCCCCCTTCCCCACTTGAGCCCCTTCAAATATTATCACTGGGGCTTTTGACCGGCACAGTATATAAAACCAACCCACAAACAATCGAACAGTTGAAACTCAATGTTGAACACGTCGTACAAAAAATTGACCCATAAACATGTCATGGGGTTATAAAAAACTTCTGGTGGTGCACTAGAGCTTGTAAGGAGAAAAATGGACGTCAAATCCATAAGTTTATTTTTAGCAATATGGATTTTGTATAAATTTTTTCTTCAAAGCACAAATAGTGGCTATTTCAAACTAGAACAAAATAGACTAGTTGACCTTTAAGAAGTTGCTAAGTTTTGCATTTTACTCAGTTTTGGTTGAGATTTTAAAAACTTAATCTTTTTTTAACATATTAGTTGTTGTTTTTTTACATTGACAGATGTAACGTTTCTCTGGTTGAATTGTGTTTGTTCGCAGTTTTGTTCAAATTGGTCTAAAGATGATCGAGTTATTGCCATTTTCAAGTGAGCCTTGCTTTTTCCTTTAGGAGAAACTAAAGCTTTTGAATAAGTCAAAAACTGTACCATGCGATCAGAGACAGTGCAGTAGTAAATGGTAGTCCTTAATGGAATTTAGTGTCCACATATATGAATGTCACTTTTCAATTTCCTTTACAATTTTGAGACTTCCATCATCCATCAGACCCTTAAGAAAATGTTTTAGCCCATGAAAACCAAGATACCATAATATCCATAGTTTTCACATAAGTTTTGGGAGGACCAATTAGTTTCTGTTTCTGGCAGCTTCACTGCACACTAAAAAAAGACCAAATGCCTAAACTGATCACCCGACGCGTGGCCTCGTTTGAAAACAAATGCGTTGCTTATTGAAGGTCATCATTGGTTTTGCAGGCATTGTTCGTTTTGCTTCTCCCCTGGAGGACAATCTGGCTAGCTCCAAACCCACAAAACTGAACCGAACTGAACCAATGATGTCACTGGGCCCTGCTTATAATGTTAGTTCATTTCGATATTATATATTTAGTCTCTCCTCCAATAGAATGTTTTGAGTCCAGAAACAAATTTATGTACTTACTCACAACCTCCGAGATGGCATCCGCAACAGATGGCTGTTCTTCAACCACACTTTCATCAGCAGGTGGAGCTGCCTCCTGTCCAGATAAGGTATCATCTGCATCATCATCGCCAAAATCAACCTGAGTAGTCTAGCGGGTGCAGGGTGCCATCATGCAGTGTCAAGGTGACAAGTGAAACACAAAATGCCAGTTGTAAGTGCAGAAAGTTAGTGGGTAATTAATTGATATTATGCAGTCAAACATTCTAGTGCAAGATACAAAACAAATACACACTTTAATATTTTCACAGTCACACATTTTAAAACAGTGCATTACTCAAAAACTAGATGGCCAATCACTTTGAAATTTTTACATAGGCCTACATTTCACCTCAAACAAAGGTCTTTTGAAACATGCCAAGGTATTTTGTTTTGTTTGATGATATTGGAGGGGAAGTTTTCAGTTTTTCTTTCATTATAAATATTCTCATATTATGTATGCATTGAAGCAATCTGAGCCATTTTAAACAGAGACTTACACACATAATGCTGACCTCACTTTAATTCATTCATCATATCAAAAAGAGCTGCACCAACAGTTCAGGTCCACAGAGATTTTGTAACAACATTCTTCTCCTGAATTCATGACTTGTGCATTCACCAGATCTTAGTCTAAGTGAGCGCATGTGTGTGGAAGGTTTTAGATATATCACCGTATGAGCCGGACTAAATCAGCCCCAAACCTTTGTTCAGTTAGAAGAAGCCTAAAATTAAAAAGAGTGATGTATAAGACTCCTCAAAAAAAATTACAGTGCAGCCTCTCCATAACAACCTTCGATATAACGACATCCTCTGTATAGCGACATGGTGCCCTGGTCCCGATTTTTTCCTTATACGAGTATATATATTATTAGTAATTTTTTGTTGCCTCTCTATAACGCCAACTCTCTATAATGACATTTTTATCTGATCTCGACTATGTCATTAAGTGGAGGCTGCACTGTACACTTTTTTGTCTGACCATGCATCGACAATGCAAAACTGGAGATTATCAACCTCATTGTTGAAATTGTCACTTTTTGGTTAACCCCTGATTGACTACAAATTCAAAATTTAAGATCAGAATCCCTTTTCTTTTTACATCTAGAGTGTTTTAAAATGATCATAGTCTTATTTGAAATGTTCACTCATATGTTGAACTAGCCATAATAGAAATCTGTCCAGGAAGGAAACCTGTCACTGACAATGAAATCTATCAAAGCTTTTAGAGCCATCTGTGACAAGTGTCACAACAAAGCTGAATCAGGCCCTCACCAATTTTGGGGCATATTTAGGCCTATAGTTATTGGTATCATCATAAAGCTTGTTTGTTTGTCTTGCTTATGATGAAAAAAATCCTGTTTCTTGTTAATAAAAGTAGAGAATATTTGCAAGTGAAGGAGTGGGGGTTAGCCTGGCGTCAGAGATAAGATTGGCAAGAAAATGTCTGCCAAAGTAAGGTGACTTCAACTTCCAAAGCGTGAGTGTCCTAGGAAACTTTTTTTTTTGGTAAATGTTTTACAGTGCTCGCAACTGCATAAGGTCGTATGAGTGCACGGGACACATTAAATATTTTCAATTTGGCAGAAGATTTTTTGAATTTTGCCCGCGTGATGGCCGAAGCCTACTCTTATCAATTAAGGACCACCAAGGGATCTTTAACGCGTGCAACTTGCACGAGGAACCTCAGAGATTTTTCGCCCTTATTCATGAAGGCTAGGTGTTTGATCTTACCTACCATAAGACCAGGGGTGTTACTGAAAGACAGAAGTAGGAAGGAGCCAAGGAGTAGCAATAGGTAGGCGGCAGAAAGAGTCAAGAGCCCAGAGGAGGGGGCAAAGGAGGTGAGGGATGTGGGCAAGAATTGGAGACAAAAGCAGCCAATAGAACATTGTTTGAGAGCAGGAAAGGAGTGAAAGGAGACAATTTAAGCAAAGAAAATTTTCCTAATTCAAACCCGAAACCTATTGAATGAGAGGCAAGCACCGTAACCTCTTAACCAAGAGAGCCCCCTCCTTGGAAACTGAAAATTGATACTTTTATGCCTTTGATCAATGTTTATCAATAAAAGCCACACATAGCTTTTTTCAATGGTCACAACAGGTGTTGAACCCCCCCCCCCCCCCCCCTTCTCCTTTTCTGTTTCCGGACGTAGTTGTTTTGGGGTCTAGACGTTATTAACTTGTGACTCGATTCAGCTACACAGGTGATGTGCAAAATAACTTCATATGAGCATAACCATCACTCAAAACGTAACATATGATATATCAAATTGAAGGAAATTGAATAAGGGATATATTCCAACATAAACAAGTGTTGACTTTGAACATAAGTATGCATTACAAGGGTTAGAAATTGCGATGGTGGTGAGAAAAATAAATTTTGACAGAAAAAAAGATTACACACACTAAACATGTGAAAGCAAATCAGCATAGCTATCTTATCATATACAGGCCAAGAACAGATTCCATAAATTTCTGAATTTGCAGCTTTTTATTTGAATACAATATTTCAATTTTTGTTTGAGTTATGATATTGATAAGGAGTCCGGTTATATCGTTTTGTTGATGCAAGACTGCAAGAACTAATTCACTCGTATTTCGTCAGACTGACGCCTTGAAAAAAGTGAAACTAGATGTTTTCATTTCCTAAACCCTTTTCAAGTTTTTGACAACAATAAAAAGTACTTATAAATAGTGGATAATGTTAAAATGAAACAAAACTGAGGCACCCCATCATAGCCGATATATCGACGATACGTCCGCAAGGGGTGTGGACTCGCGCCGATATATCCGGAAACAGTTAATATTCTAAAACAGCACCTGGACATGGATGGCTGATGCCTCTATAAATAAATCATTGATGGTCAGGTCAGTTAATATTTCACAGTAGGAAGGAAAAACTTAGGTTTCAACAATTTCATTAGTTTGACGAGCTCCTGATTTCACCACAATGCGACATAAGATAAACACTATAAAGTTACATCAGACTTTGAATCTCAGTTTCTGAGAGCAAAAGAGTGCTAAAATCATGTTGCTCCAACCTTTAAATTTCGACTTTCACAAAATATTTACAATACTGCAAAGTCATCCAAATGTCTGTGGTCTTCTGAATGGGCTCTTTGCAGGACTGTCCACCTACCAGCATATCTTTTAGTAATCAACAAACAAAAAATGAGTAATCTGGTTTAAAAATTTGTTATAATGGCCATGGATTGTCTTCTTCCCTGGGGTGGGGTATCAAGGACAGGGATTGAAGTCGAGTGCAAATGTAATGTAAATAAAAGTGTGATGATAAAAGAGGTCATGGCGGGCTCATCAATGTCAAGTTACGAAAAAAAGGGGAAAAAAGGGGAGGGCGGAATTAGGAGATAGTTTACTGCTTGCATTTATAAACAAAAAAAACCTTTGGAACTACAGAATATGTAACAAGCCTTTGATCCTGATTGTGCATCACAATACACCATGCCACTCACCCACAACTGTGAAATTGCTTTAATTAAAACGTTTCAAAAGATGACCCATTTAAAAAAAATTCTCTCATTTTCCTAGCGCTGTCACCCATAACACAAAACAGCAGGAATTTTCTACTACCTTGTCAGCCTAATGTTTGCCTTGCTCCTGGCTTTGGCACTTCTAAAGCCTATGCTTTTTAAAATTTAAGGCAGAAGTGGCACTACGCAAAAACAAGGGCTCTGTGCAAAGAGAGTGCTGAAGTTAGACAGTTGAATCAGTGAATGTAACGTAGGCTGTGTGGATCTAGTTGTTTTTCTCCCTTTATATACACCGGGAAGGTTGGAAGTGGGTTGGGGTAACCAAATTTCTTGTTTCTAATCGGAATCAGGGTTATTATGATTGTATTTTTCTTGAAAGTGAATAAAAATAGTAATGATTTTGCCAAATTCATAATGATTGGCAGCCTTGTCTTTGCCATGCCAGCAAAAATGTGAGTTTGATTCTCATGATGGGAAGACATTTTGAGTATCTATGTCTACCTGCTATGACCTATCTCACACAACCCAGGACCATGACAGGCAGCGTAAAAGCAGTCCATCTCCTACATGACCTAAATAGTGTCAATTGAGGTATAGAACATTCACTACTACAAGCTACAACCTGTGAAGAAATATAAACAATTAATCCGTTTGTTGCCTTTTGAGGTGGCTGATGCATCATGAAAATCTGTAATTTTTAGCTTTGGGTCGTACCATGGACATTATAAAGGTTAGCAAAATTAGTTGCTCCTGGTTGCCTATATGATATGTACCGTCATGCTACTCACTTAACTCTAATTCTTCCTTGTGGAGATTTAGGATTTGAATTTGGTAATGAAAAATGCGCATATTGATGCCAAATTTGCTAGTATTAATTAACTGCTAGGCTTGCAAGCAATTGATAGACCTGGGTCCCGTTTTGCAGATGACACCATGCTCTTGACTCGTTGTTGTTTTCAAATCCCTTTAGCTGCAAGCATTTAGCTCTAAATGCTCTTGACTTAAATAGGGCTGAAAATTTAACTTTTTGACTCCAAGTTGCAAGCTTTATTAAATTATGGATAGATCGGAGATTTAAAGAATGAGGAAAGTGAAGAAAGTGACATGATCGAAGACCCAGGCTCCGAAATATGCCACGAGTGAGGCAGATCTAGACCATGAGTCAATTAACACTGAGATAGGAGAGTGACGTCCAGGCTAACAAGCTTTTTTGAAAATGATCAGTGCTAACTGATGAAATGCACACCCCCTGGCAACAAAGGGATTAACCCTTCACACAGTTCACGAGTAAATTATATCCAAAGTATTTATCACTCTTTTCTTGATTGCATCATACTTGAAGACCGATATTTATAATAGGCCTGTACTAAGCTGTCCTGCTTAGTTACTCTATTGACCTGTACAGCTTGTGCTGTGGTGTTGATGGGGTTGATTACATTTCTTATCTGAGGGCTCTGTGTGTCCTGTACTGCTGGAGGATGTGTTCAAGAGTTTGGTATGTTTCTCCTCATTTTGGTGAATGTGCAGGTTTAACTCCTTATCTCCTGCAAGCCGTTCCCAGCAGCTCATGATTAGAACCGCTGAGAGTGGCTCAGGCAAATTCCTTTACAATGACTTCATCAAATTACTTATCAGCAATTGCCACAAAAAGGTCTTGTTTACTGGGATTTTATTCATAAGATGAAAAACTACCTAAATAGGTTCACTTGTTTTGATTTAATGACCAATTTAGTAATGCATATATGTCAATTTTAGATTTTGTACCAAAAGAAGGTTCTGGCAGAGTGGGTTCACCTCCCTCGGAGATAAAGAGTTAAAACATCAATACATGTGTCATGACGTGGCAGAATCAGGCGCTCGTCAATTTTTGGGCATATAGGGTTAGGCCTATTGATATCATCTTAAAGCAGGTTCATTCGTCTTCCTTTTGGTGAATAAAATATCCATCTATGTTAAATAGAAGTCAAAATATTTGCGATAAAAGAGGTCGCCTCGTTTGAGAAGTAAAATTAGCAAGAAAAGGGTCACCAAATTTTGGTAACTTCCATAGCCTGATAGTCCATGGAAACTGAAAATTTACATTTTTTGTGCCATTAATCAATGTTTTTCAGTAAAATACACACAAAATGTGTTCATAAATGGAATTGAAAAGTGTTGAGGCCAACAACAACAAAATTATTAAAAAATTGCCCTCGGCCAAAAAATGCTGATTTCTTTGATTTCACTATTTTGAAAAGCACCTCGTTTCACCACGATGCCTCACATAGGATTTTAAAAATCTTGTTTGTTGTGTTCTTAGTCTGAAGATAATCAACCAGTTGTTCCATGGCAGAACAGCTCATGGTAGTCATTTGGTATCTCTGGTGCATTACAGAGTTTTCATATAAGCGACTGGAAAAGGTAAACTTTCCAGAACAAGAGTACCACTAAACATACACTCATTTCTTTATTGGACTTCTTTGTTCTGTCTTACCTCATCTTGAGTTTCGAGTTCCCCAGCCTTGTGGGCCTCCACAGCCTCATGAACTAATTGCTCAGGTACCAACACCTCAAGCCTGTGCTCTGTGGAGATTAAACTTACTGTTCATTAACTGATTCAGCCCACAGATAATCTTGACTTCTGATGCAAATAATTTGTGACCGCTTCATGACCTCACAGGTGGTCTCACAAAAAGTCCATTAAAAAATATCAAATTCTGATAAAACTGTATGTGCGGCACATAGAAATGTTCAGAATAAAAAATGTTATTCAATGACATCAGAAAAAAGGGTTGAAACGTAAGTGGTCAGGAAAATAGACGAGAGCAATCGATAAGAGCCGCTCTGGCCGCTGCGTAAAAAAACAGGAGACACTCAGCCACTGTGAGTGGCGCTGCAGCCTGAATCAGTTAATATTATTTTGCTTTAGAAGAGACAGAGCAAAGCATTTCTTTACTACTATGACTATACCATTATGCTTCCATTCTCATAAAGTAAAGAATACAAATTGGTCATATCTTTTTTTTTTACAACAGTAGTACACAAATAAAATTTTAGCGTTGTTTTTTTTATAGTAAAACCTTTTCAAATAAGTCTCCTGCAACTGAGCAAGATGGCCAAATTTTGACAGAGACTCATCTATGGCCTTGATATTTATGTTTTAGCTCTTGTAGTAAAAACGATATATGGAACCTTGCAACCATTGAAATGAGAATATTTTCCTTTTCATGAGAACCATGGAATCCACTTTAAAAATCATTAGAAATACCTAAAGAGTACAGGTCAAACACAATAACCAACCTTCAGCCAGTCTCTTCACACATGATGTTTTTCCACTAAACACTTTTCCAAGTACACAAGCACGGACAGGGAAAGGTGCAAACTCTGGTGGGGGAGGTGGAGGCTGAGAACAAGAAGAGAAAGTTTCAAAAGAATGCATACTTAAACTAATGTTCATAAGAATAGCATTTAATAAAAAGCCCTGTTGGTGAATAAGTTATAAAGATATATATTCATTTATGGCCTTTTCTATTAATAAAGATACAAAATTAGAGGAATAAAGCCACTTAAAGCTTTGCCGGTATGCCTATAGTCACCGGTACGCCTGTGAGAGAGACCATATCCCCAGCCAGGCCTGTCTGGGACAAAATGTGCACAGAAAACTGTTTACTACACAGGACATTACTGATTTTTTTGAAGATCTTTCAGAATTAGATGCTGGTAATGTCTTAATGACAATGACAACCCCGAGTGGGATATGGAATGTGATTCTGACAATGATATTGAATGTGAGTAATATAAGCATGAATCACTCAGGAGCTCAAGCAGAGGGGCATGGTAGCTCCAGCAGGTTGGGCTCAAAGGTTTAATGTTTTCTGAGACCTCCAGAATCAAGGAGCTACACTTAACCACCAAGAAGTTGAAATTAGCAGTATTATTATATGTATTTATCAGTATCATAAACTCCCTTCAGTGAGGCATATATGTTAAATATGCTATACTGGATGTCAGGCAGTAGGTTATTTCAAGTTGATTTACTAGAAATGGAGACAACAGTTTATATTATCCATAAGAAGCTTCAGCCATAAATGATTATAACAAGAAACACTTGAGACAATAAGGTCCATTTCCCCCGTTAAGCCCCTAAACCAATATGTAATAATTTTTATCAAAGTATTTTTTTTGCCAAAAGTAGAAAAGGTACACACAGTGGGAGGGTGGACTATGTTGAACAAGCGTTGCACAATGTGTCCAACCACTGGGTTATTGCGAGGAGGACCCTCAATCTCACTGGCCTCCGGGGCTTGCCACTCTCCGTTCATGTTCTGTAACAGTTGTAAAGACAAAAATGGACCTGTATTCAGTTTCCTTACAACAAAATTTTAAGTAATATTTCTGATAATTATTGTTATCCAAAGTTATCTGAACCATTTGTGAATAGACTCGCACATATTTTTCAATAATGAACTAAAGTAATTAAAATTAGATGAATTCTTTAATGCTATTATGAATTTTGCTACCACTGCAGTTATGAATGACATTGATAATAGAAAAAAATATTGACCCTATAACTAAAACTACTCTCTTTGGGCCCTATATTAAAACAGCTCTTAGGGTGCATACATAGGGTCACTAAAATAAATTACTTACTGTAATCTAGCCTATGAATTGGTTATTTTGAGACAGCAATGTTCATGTAAATTATCTACTTTATTATTGTGTAAATGCAATGACCACTACTTTGTACAAATTTTCGTTGAGAAAAAAGAAACGCTCAAGATGTGTAATCTAATCACATAAAATCTTAGAACATAGGCATTTCAATTAATAATATCTTCAACATGGCACATGCTACTAGCTCAAGAGTTTATTCTGAACTGCACTGCCGTGATTCATGAGTCATCACGCGAAAAACACATCTTAAATGGTCACGTGATACACATAGATATAAAGGACATAACTCGCATAATACAATGATCACAACCACACACAGCTACTCTCTCTTAACAATACATCACACAATTGGTGAGGAGTTAAAATGCCATCCAAAGTAGAGTGCTTCACTTGTTAAAACAGTCTGTATAAGTTCAACCTGGTCAGGATGAACAGGCTAAAATGACCTTGAAGTTTGAAGTGTTAGTAGCAGGTCACTTTATTATAGGCCTACAAGCTGAGCAAACTGCTAAATCTCATTCTGTGTCAGGTCACTTGGTGACAAATACTCAGTCAATAACTAACTCAACCAGAATCAATCACAAACAGTCAAGTAGGCCTAGGCCTACAACCTTGATTCCCATCAAAATTAAACATTCATTCTGTGTTAAAAACAAACTCACTCTGTATCAAAAGAAACTTACTCTGTGTCAAGAAGAAGAAGTGCTTTCCAGTGCAAACAAGTTCTACCTTCACTCTGTATCAATTGACACTGTGTCAATTGACACAGAGGCTGTGCCAATTGACACTACCTATTTCTCAAAACCGGATTTAGGCTAACATCAAAGAAAAAATTAGTTTTCAGTGAATGGGCTTTTAGAATCTGTTGGTCATCCAACTTTTAGATCCATGTGTAAAGATCTGAGAATATCAAACTGACTGATTTCATCTTATCTTGCTTTAACTGTGGTCAGACAAAAGTGAAAAAGCTATAGACAGTATTTTATCTCGCCTGCAAAATTTTAAAATTCAAAGTTAACAAGGTTTTGACAGAGCTCCGACGACATGTTTTTATCATCCATGCTGCAGATAACAATAAAAAGGAGTCGACAGAAAAAAAAATTGATTATGATTAATTAGGCCAACCTTGTACTCCATAAAGTCACCCTCATCCAGCAACTGCTGTCTATCCTCCTCCAGCACTTGCTCAGGGGTCAACTCTGACACCTCCTGTTCCACTTTCTCATACAGGGGCTGTCCAGATGTGAACAGTAACTTCCACTCTCGCATCAGTTTGGCTGGCAATAAGCTGTGCAGCGAATTAATATTACAGAGTTAATATTGGTTAAGAAAGCTCCAAAATAGCAGGGCTGCCTATTTGCAATTTCCTATTTCACGTAGATTCAGGTAGTTTTGCACAAAAAAATCATGCGGTACAAAGACAAAAAAGGGAGAAAAAAAGACGAACATTAACATGGTAAAAAGAATTACCATCGAGCAGACCTTGCTTCTAGTTATGTTATTATGTAATTATATCTTAAAAACGTATGCATCTTTTCTGTGTGTGCGTGCGTGTGTGTGTGTGTGTGTGTGTGTGTGTGTGTGTGTGTGTGTGTGTGTGGTGCGTGTGTGTGAGTATATGTGTGTCTGGGATTTGTGTGAATATTAGGTGATGACATAGTGTTGATAAAATGAGAAGTGTTTAAAAAAAAAACCATTTATGGACTATCATCCACACACATCAATCAGTACTGAATGTAGATTAGAGTGAAGGGCGACTGCCAAACTGACTTCAGATTCCACAGCTCGTACCAATAATAACTATTTAAATGTATTTCCTAACAATGACATGCCAACAGGGAACTGATAAGTCTTGTGTGACATAGGTAATTTATGCCAGACAATTTTAATTCATTTTCCCCCGACAATATTTTTAAAAATGAACCCTGATTTGGGCCTGTGAAAGGGCCAAAACATCTATTCTCAAAAGCATTTCTGAGGTTCAGCATTCACGGATGTTAAAAAGCATGCAAGACAAAACTTATTTTTTTTAAATCTCCATAGGTAGACCTCAAGACAGACCAAAAAGTAACACTAGAAGTGAGCATATTATACTGAGTCAGTATATCGTGAGCGTTGGAGCTGGAAAGACAAAGAGAATGCAGTGCGTAGTGATGCTGAAAATCTGGCAGTCACTCATGTGTCATGGACTGAGTACAGATTTTCAAAATGCTAAATTACAGATCGAGTTTTAACACTTTCCACCCACACAGTGCATAGAGCACACAACACTTGTCCCCACAGACCAGGATGCAGATACCGTACATCAGTACTACACCTGTGTCTTGGCAAAAATACCCCAACCATTATTAAAATTTCAGCAAACTGAGAAAATTGAAAGTGATGATTGAATGTTCACCAAAAAAAGAATTAGAATCAGAACTGAAAACATAAGATCTAGCTCATTCATCACCCGAATTCTCATCATGGCGTAAGAGTAACTAAGCACTCGTGCTACATCTACTCGTCATTTTACCCAAAAAATTTGCTCCAATTGTTGTATTCAAACTGATTTTTTACCTCAAAGGCCACACAAACCATCCAGAAAGGAAATTTATCTTTAACAAGCGCGCATGTCATAAACAAGATCATTGCTACAACTCTTGAGAGGACAAAATTGAAATCCCATGGGAAATACTAAAATTGGAGTACTAACTTGTTGGTGAGCTCCCTGTACTCTGCCACCTTGCAGGAAAAATCTACAACACTTGACACCATCTCTGCACACATGTCATAATGCCGCTTGTAGCGTTCTTCTGCACGTTGAGCAGCAATCTTGTCATGCAAATATTGGTCTGCCTTGATCTGCTCAGCATATTCAATCTTGTGAAGAGCAGCCATTTCCTGTTTTAGAAGAAAACTAAAAATGAACATCATATATATATGATCTAAAGCCAGGAGAAAAGAAGATACCAATTGACATGTTTCATTTTTCCGAAATGTTTCTGCATTTTTAAAAACTTGCAAAGCTTCTAAAATAAGGCATATTTGGCTAAAACCATATTCACTACATGAGCAACTTTAATAAATCTAATGTTTCAAACATCTTTTATGGTTACATACAAGAAGTCAGTGTGACAATTTACATGCTTTTTTCTGTGGTTCTAAAAGAGAACCAAAGACAGTCCACCTAATGACACAAAGGACAATATAAACTGACCGCTTCAAGGTCAAGGGCATCCTCAAAGTCCTTCAGTCTACGGTCCTGATACTGTTTCTCTCTGAAAATTCTATTCTGTCGAATCACTTCCTTCTCATGACGAGCCTGTGAAAGAGTTTTTGTTCGTAGTCAGATTCAATTTGTTCACACATACACACTTGAATGTCCTTCACTTTCTGACCTAATAAGCTTTAATAATCTATGTACCTTTATTCTTTTGACTCTAACTTTCTCTACCTGTCCTTCTTCTTCTCCCTTCCTCCATTTCTCTGTCTCTTTCTGTCTCTCTCTGTCTCTCTGTCTCTCTCTGTCTCTCTCTGTCTCTCTCTGTCTGTCTGTCTCTCTCTCTCTCTCTGTC